GATCCTCGTCTCTGGTGTGTGGAGTCCATGTCTACAGATCTTCATCCCCCCCATCACCTCCTTCTATCCATACCAAGGCTCCTCCTACAGACTGGAATCCTTCTTCATCCTCATTCACCAACCGATGGACTTGTGTCCTGATCCTCGTCTCTGGTGTGTGGAGTCCATGTCTACAGATCTTCATCCCCCCAATCACCTCCTTCAATCCATACCAAGGCTCCTTCCTCCTCCTACAGACTGGAATCCTCCTTCATCCTCATTCACCAACCGATGGACTTGTGTCCCGATCCTCGTCTCTGGTGTGTGGAGTCCATGTCTACAGATCTTCATCCCCCCAATCACCTCCTTCTATCCATACTAAGGCTCCTCCTACAGACCGGAATCCTCCTTCATCCTCATTCACCAACCGATGGACTTGTGTCCTGATCCTCGTCTCTGGTGTGTGGAGTCCATGTCTACAGATCTTCATCCCCCCAATCACCTCCTTCTATCCATACCAAGGCTCCTCCTACAGACCGGAATCCTCCTTCATCCTCATTCACCAACCGATGGACTTGTGTCCCGATCCTCGTCTCTGGTGTGTGGGGTCCATGTCTACAGATCTTCATCCCCCCAATCACCTCCTTCTATCCATACCAAGGCTCCTCCCTCAGACATGGGAGATGTACTCAGGCCTGCTAATCTATCCCTCCAATTCAACCCTTTCCAGCCCGGTACTTTTCACCGTTCCCGCCACTTGTGGGCTCTGATGAAGGAGGCCTCAGGGATACCGAAACGCGTCGGCTCGTCATGTCGGATTTTTATGGTAAAATAAACCAACGTTGGACTTCCATCTATCGGTTTTTCTCCGTCTTTCATCAATGCCCTTTGGACTTCATGAGACAACCCCTGTTCTACGCATGGAGCTGCCTAATCGAAGTCTACAGACCATACAACATCCTATCTGGGTCCAGCACATCCTACACACATCGTCCAATGGTTGACTCTCGCAGATCACGGAACTATTGGAACTCCTTGGAAGAACGAGAGGCCTCCAGCCTCTGCCTGTACCTTTCTTGACCCCCTCCCCCACCCCAGACTTGTAGTTTGGGTTGGTGTCGTTCCCTGTGTGTGGTCATTCTCTCCGGGGATTTCTTCTGAGGGGTCATTGTGTTCTTCCTTCGCTCACATGGGCCTCGCAGGAAGCTGGGTGCTCGGAGGAGTGCGTCATGTGTCCTCTGACTCAATCCGGTCACTTGGGGTTAAGGCAACGGGAGGCTGTCGGGACGAACGATTTAACCCTCCAGGTGCTGGACGCGCCATTAATGCCCTGTTCTCCTCTTCTATGGATCTAGTTGTCTGATTGGATACAGACGGATTGGATTGACCGTCCTATTACATCGTTTTGGTAGATCTGAAGATTGTAAGGTGTGTGGTGACCCTTAGACTCCAGGAATGAACCGAAGGCAGAGTACAGAGCCAGGCAGTATGGCGGCCATGCCCCACCCATTCATGAGCCATGTGGCGCCTCCTATCTGCCCTGACAAGGAAGGGAACCTCTCCCTCCTCTGAGGAGATATAAAGGATCTGATCGTCCTTACCATACACATTGATGCACAGGCAACCATGGCAACGGTACACGATTTTCCATTTTCTTACACTGGGCCTGATCATGTGGTTCTAGTAAGGGAAGAACAAAGCACTCGGCACTTGTTTTGAACGATTTCAGCAAGTTCCCCACAACGGTCTCCCTCAGGATGTACGGAGAAACCATCGAAAAAATGGGAACAGCGTTTGTGATTGGCTGCGGGGAGCAATGCCAACAGTTCTTCTGGACACAATGGAGAGCTCTGATTGGTGCTGTGCTCCTTGCTGCTGGCGGACAGAATTCTGCCTCATCCCCTCCCCCCCTCCTCATTCATTGGTGGGATTTCTTGTTTCTCCAGCTGCTGCAGATAGCAGTGAAGAGGACACAGCCAGCCGCAGTCCTGGCCTCCTGTACAATCCCGTGTGTGGTGGAGAACAGGGGCGGACTGACAACTCATGGGGCCCCCGGGCAATAGGGGATCATGGGGCGGACTGACAACTCATGGGGCCCCCGGGCAATAGGGGATCATGGGGCGGACTGACAACTCATGGGGCCCCCGGGCAATAGGGGATCATGGGGCCCTGTGTCCTTGCCCAAACTCAAAAAAGCCTATGAAAAAGGTACCAGGGGCATCTCATGGGGCCCCCTACTGACCCCGGGCCCTCAGGCAGTGCTGGAGTTTCCAAATGGTCCCTGGTGGAGAACGTGTGTGAGATTGTACAGATCAGGTCTGTGCTTGTCTCACCACCACCCACCAGGGTGACCTCGCGAGGTCCTGCATTCCAGAGTGCAGGAAGAGCCCCACCTACTGGTGGACTGAGACAATCGCAGAGCTGGTCCTGCAACAGCCTCACTGAGCCCCCTATGACGTCGCTTCAAGGAGAGCAACAGCGCCTGGCACCGGACTTCATGTCATCCTATCGTGTCCATTCACACCTGAGCCACATGAAGAGTCCGGGGCGTCTCTGGGGGCGGAGCGCTCGTTTCTGGCCCAATAGGCTTCAATGGGAGGGCCTAAAAAAATGCAAATAACACATCATGAAAGCCGACTCCTCCTCCTAGTAACTGGATTTCCATTGGCTGAAACAGACGCTCAAGCCTGAGAATTCCCGAAACATGAAATTATTTAAAATAAATATATATATATACATATATACACACACGGCTCCGAACAATGAGACCTACGCTGTGTAATCCGAGTCGCATGAAGTCAATTCTCTCTCCTGATCTGGTCAGGTAAGTCGCAGAGGATCTGGTCGGGTAAGTCGCAGAGGATCTGGTCAGGTAAGTAGCAGAGGGTCTGGTCAGGTAAGTCGCAGAGGATCTGGTCAGGTAAGTCGCAGAGGGGGTTGTTCATCAGTTTCAGCTGCTTTGGTGTTCAAGAAACTAACAACAGGTGCACTAGATGGGCAACAATGAGACGACCCCCAAAACAGGAATGGTTTACAGGTGGAGGCCACTGACATTGTTTTCCCTTCTCCTCTTCCCTGACTGTCTCTCACTGGTTCTGCATTTGGCTCGGGTCGGTGTCACTACTGGTAGCATGAGGCCATACCTGGACCCTACAGAGGTCACACAGGCAGTCCAACTCCTCCAGGATGGCACATCAATACCTGCCATTGCCAGAAGGTGTGCTGTGTCTCCCAACACAGTCTCAAGAGCATGGAGGAGATTCCAGGAGACAAGAGCATGGAGGAGATTCCAGGAGACGAGAGCACGGAGGAGATTCCAGGAGATGGAAAGCATGGAGGAGATTCCAGGAGACAAGAGCATGGAGGAGATTCCAGGAGACGAGAGCACGGAGGAGATTCCGGGAGACGAGAGCACGGAGGAGATTCCAGGAGACGAGAGCACGGAGGAGATTCCGGGAGACGAGAGCACGGAGGAGATTCCAGGAGACGAGAACACGGAGGAGATTCCGGGAGACGAGAACACGGAGGAGATTCCGGGAGACGAGAGCATGGAGGAGATTCCGGGAGACGAGAACACGGAGGAGATTCCGGGAGACGAGAACACGGAGGAGATTCCGGGAGACGAGAGCACGGAGGAGATTCCGGGAGACGAGAGCACGGAGGAGATTCCGGGAGACGAGAGCACGGAGGAGATTCCGGGAGACGAGAACACGGAGGAGATTCCGGGAGACAGGCAGTTCCTCTAGGAGGGCTGGACAGGGCCATAGAAGGTCCTTAACCCATCAGCAGGACCGGGATCTGCTCCTTTGTGGAGGAGGAACAGGAGGAGCCCTGCCAGAGACCCTACAGAATGACCTCCAGCAGGCCACTGGTGGGAATGTCTCTGACCAAACAATCAGAAACAGATTTCATGAGGGTGGCCTGAGGGCCCGACGTCCTCTAGTGGGCCCTGTGCTCACTGCCCGGCACCATAGAGCTGGATTGGCATTGGCCATTGAACCCCAGAATTGGCAGGTCCACCACTGGCACCCTGTGCTTCTCACAGATGAGAGCAGGTTCCCCCTGAGCACACGTGTGACAGACGTGAAGGGTCTGGAGAAGCCGTGGAGAACGTTCTGCTGCCTGTAACATGGTTCAGTATGACCGTTGTGGTGGTGGGTCAGTGATGGTCTGGGGGGGCATCTCCATGGAGGGACACAGACCTCTACAGGATAGACAATGGCCCCTGACTGCCATGAGGTATGATTCCCGCCACTAACAGAGCAATCATTGAACAATCAGATTGTATATGGCGGGAGAGTGGAATGCGTCCAATACTGGCCCTACAGTCATCAGACTCGGCCTCATTTACTGTCTGAAAGTTGGACTGTCTGTGTTATCCTCAGCAGCCAGCCATACGCCGGCCCGGCAGGTCAAGCACTCCCAGGTCGCAGTGCAGTCTGACGGCACTCATGTTTATGGGGGTCTCATCCATGCTACATCGGGGATTCCTCATACAATCTCTGCCCACACCAGGAACTGTCCCCCAAATGTCATCTGCCAATCACAGACACTCACACCCTTCTAAACTATGTGCAGGGAAACCCTTCCCCCCCATCAGCCAATACCAGCCTGCTACAACAGGGACATCTAGTGGCCGACTTACAGATAGCAAGAAGTACGAATGATAATATTACATGTATATAGCTGACATATACCGCGGCGCTGTACACTGAGCCAGTCCCATCAGTCTCTGTACAGAGGAGCTTACACTCTAAAGTCAGTCCCAGAGGAGCTTACCCCCCCTCCCCCAACAGTCACATCAGTCTCTGTACAGAGGAGCTTACACTACGCTCTAACACTGTCCCCCCTCCCCCACAGTCACATCAGTCTCTGTACAGAGGAGCTTACACTCTAATGTCCCCTCCCCCGCAGTACAGAGGAGCTTACACTCTAATGTCCCCTCCCCCGCAGTCCCATCAGTCTCTGTACAGAGGAGCTTACACTCTAATGTCCCCTCCCCCGCAGTCCCATCAGTCTCTGTACAGAGGAGCTTACACTCTAATGTCCCCTCCCCCGCAGTCCCATCAGTCTCTGTACAGAGGAGCTTACACTCTAATGTCCCCTCCCCGCAGTCCCATCAGTCTCTGTACAGAGGAGCTTACACTCTAATGTCCCCTCCCCCGCAGTCCCATCAGTCTCTGTACAGAGGAGCTTACACTCTAATGTCCCCTCCCCCAGTCAGCTTACTAATCATAGTCCCATCAGTCTCTGTACAGAGGAGCTTACACTCTAATGTCCCCTCCCCCCAATTGCAGTCCCATCAGTCTCTGTACAGAGGAGCTTACACTCTAATGTCCCCTCCCCCGCAGTCCCATCAGTCTCTGTACAGAGGAGCTTACACTCTAATGTCCCCTCCCCCGCAGTCCCATCAGTCTCTGTACAGAGGAGCTTACACTCTAATGTCCCCTCCCCCACAGTCCCATCAGTCTCTGTACAGAGGAGCTTACGCTCTAATGTCCCCCCCCCCCTCCCCCACCCCTCCCATCAGTCTCTGTACCAGAGGAGCTTACGCTCTAATGTCCCCTCCCCCCACAGTCCCATCAGTCTCTGTACCGGAGGAGCTTACACTCTAATGTCCCCTCCCCACAGTCCCATCATCTCCCTGTACCAGAGGAGCTTAACGCTCTAATGTCCCCTCCCCCACAGTCCCATCAGTCCACTGTACCAGAGGAGCTTACGCTCTAATGTCCCCTCCCCCACAGTCCCATCAGTCTCTGTACCCAGAGCTTACGAATGTCCCCTCCCCCACAGTACACTCTCTTGTATTACACTCCCCTCCCCCCCACAGTCACATCAGTCTCTGTACCGGAGGAGCTTACACTCTAATGTCCCCTCCCCCACAGTCACATCAGTCTCTGTACAGAGGAGCTTACACTCTAATGTCCCCTCCCCCACAGTCCCATCAGTCTCTGTACAGAGGAGCTTACACTCTAATGTCCCCTCCCCCACAGTCCCATCAGTCTCTGTACCAGAGGAGCTGACACTCTAATGTCCCCTCCCCCACAGTCCCATCAGTCTCTGTACAGAGGAGCTGACACTCTAATGTCCCCTCCCTCCACAGTCACATCAGTCTCTGTACCAGAGGAGCTGACACTCTAATGTCCCCTCCCCCACAGTCCCATCAGTCTCTGTACAGAGGAGCTGACACTCTAATGTCCCCTCCCCCACAGTCCCATCAGTCTCTGTACCAGAGGAGCTGACACTCTAATGTCCCCCTCAAGCTGTCAGCTGTACACCCACAAACTGTCATTCTTCACCCACAAACTGTCAGCCTGTACCCCCTGAACTGTCAGCTGTGCACCCCCTGAACTGTCATCTTTCACCCCCTGAACTGTCAGCCTTCACAACCGGAACTGTCAGCCTTCAATCCCCAAACTGTCAGCCTTCATCCCCCTGAACTGTCAGCTGTGCACCCCCCTGAACTGTCAGCCTTCATCCCCCTGAACTGTCAGCTGTGCACCCCCTGAACTGTCAGCTGTTCACCCCCTGAACTGTCAGCCTGCACCCCCTGAACTGTCAGCCTGCACCCCCTGAACTGTCAGCCTTCATCCCCTGAACTGTCAGCCTTGATCCCCTGAACTGTCAGCCTGCACCCCCTGAACTGTCAGCCTGCACCCCCTGAACTGTCAGACTTCACCCCCCTGATCACCCCCCAAACTGTCAGCCTGCACCCCCTGAACTGTCAGTCTGCACCCCCTGAACTGTCAGCTGTGCACCCCCAAACTGTCAGCCTGCACCCCCTGAACTGTCAGCCTTCACCCCCCAAACTGTCAGTCTGCACCCCCTGAACCCTTCAGCCTTCACCCCCTGAACTGTCAGCCTGCACCCCCTGAACTGTCAGCCTTCACCCCCTGAACTGTCAGCCTTGATCCCCTGAACTGTCAGCCTTCACCCCCTGATCACCCCCAAACTGTCAGCCTGCACCCCCTGAACTGTCAGTCTGCACCCCTGAACTGTCAGCTGTGCACCCCCCAAACTGTCAGCCTGCACCCCCTGAACTGTCAGCCTTCACCCCCCAAACTGTCAGTCTGCACCCCCTGAACCGTCAGCCTGCACCCCCCCCTGAACTGTCAGCCTTCACCCCCTGAACTGTCAGCCTTGATCCCCTGAACTGTCAGCCTGCACCCCCTGAACTGTCAGTCTGCACCCCCTGAACTGTCAGACTTCACCCCCTGATCACCCCCAAAACTGTCAGCCTGCACCCCCTGAACTGTCAGCCTGCACCCCCTGAACTGTCAGCTGTGCACCCCCAAACTGTCAGCCTTGATCCCCTGAACTGTCAGCCTTCACCCCCTGAACTGTCAGCCTGCACCCCCTGAACTGTCAGCCTTGATCCCCCCTGAACTGTCAGCCTTCACCCCCTGAACTGTCAGCCTGCACCCCCTGAACTGTCAGCCTGCACCCCCCTGAACTGTCAGCCTGCACCCCCTGAACTGTCAGCCTGCACCCCCTGAACTGTCAGCCTGCACACTGCTGAGGTCTCTGGCCCTTTAAGTTCCCCCTCCCTCCCCCTCTGTACAGAACAATGAGGAAATGGAGGAATGAACCATTCCGGGATCTGGTGGGGGGGGGCAGGACAGAAGATGGATCTCTGATCTGGGGATTGCTGGGATAGGAGGGGAGCACTGATCCCTGACCCCTGTGGCCCTATATCCAGGGGCCCCTGTATAGTCAGTGAGGGCAGCCCTGGGGGCCCCTGGAAGCTCTGACCTCTGTCTGCAGGAGCCAATGTGGTCTCTTCTTCCATTCTCCCAGGGGGGTGGGATCAGATCTGACCTGGAGCTGCTGGAGAGAGGAGCTGGGAGGGGGCCATGGACACCTGGGGGGCCTAGAGGGCAGAGCTGGGGGCCACACAGGGCAGAGCCAGGTGAGTCAGGGGCCCCAACCATCATCATCCATGGGGGGGAGGGGAATGAGGGCAGACTGACAGGTGACCCCCCCCCCCCCCCCCCATATGTGTGTATACAGCAATGTCATTATTCATCAGAGGTATATCTGTATACGTGTCCTGTGTGTATATCATCTGTCATCTCCTGGATGCAGACTGACAGGTGACCCCCCCCCCCCCCCCATATGTGTGTGTATATATATCATCTGTCATCTCCTGGGTGCAGACTGACAGGTGACCCCCCCCCCCCCCCCATTATGTGTGTATATATATATCTGTCATCTCTGGGTGCAGATCAGGTCCTGGTGTATGCATCTGTCATCTCCTGGGTGCAGGACTGACAGGTGACCCCCCCATGTGTGTATATATATCATCTGTCATCTCCTGGGTGCAGACTGACAGGTGACCCCCCCCCATGTGTGTATATATATCATCTGTCATCTCCTGGGTGCAGATTGACAGGTGACCCCCCCCCCCCATCCCATGTGTATATATATCATCTGTCATCTCCTGGGTGCAGACTGACAGGTGACCCCCCCCCCCATATGTGTGTGTATATATATCATCTGTCATCTCCTGGGTGCAGTAGGACAGTACTGACAGGTGACCCCCCCCCCCCCCCCATATGTGTGTGTATATATCATCTGTCATCTTCCTCCTGGGTGCAGAGAACTGACAGACGATGACCCCCCCCCATATGTGTGTATATATATATCATCTGTCATCTCCTCATCGATGGGTGCAGACTGACAGGTGACCCCCCCCCCCCCATATGTGTGTATACAGCAATGTCATTATTCATCAGAGGTATATCTGTATACCGTGTCCTGTGTGTATATCATCTGTTATCTCCTGGGTGCAGACTGACAGGTGACCCCCCCCCCCCCATATGTTATATATAATATCATCTGTCATCTCCAGGGGTGCAGACTGACAGGTGACCCCCCCCCCATATGTGTGTGTATATATATCATCTGTCATCTCCTGGGTGCAGACTGACAGATGACCCCCCCCCATATGTGTGTGTATATTATATATCATCTGTCATCTCCTGGGTGCAGACTGACAGGTGACCCCCCCCCCCCATATATGTGTATATATATATCATCTGTCATCTCCTGGGTGCAGACTGACAGGTGACCCCCCCCCCATATGTGTGTGTGTATATATATATCATCTGTCATCTCCTGGGTGCAGACTGACAGGTGACCCCCCCCATATGTGTGTATATATATATACAGTGGGGATGGAAAGTTTTGGGCCCTCCAGCTAAAATTTGTATTAATGTGCATAAAGAAGCCAAGGAAAGATGGAAAAATCTCCAAAAGGCATCAAATTACAGATTAGACATTCTTATAATATGTCAACAAAAGTTAGATTTTATTTCCATCATTTACACTTTTCAAAATAACAGAAAACAAAAAAATGGCGTCTGCAAAAGTTTGGGCACCCTGCAGAATTTATAGCATGCACTGCCCCCCCATTTGCCAAGCTGAGACCTGCCAGTGTCATGGATTGTTCTCAATCATCGTCTGGGAAGACCAGGTGATGTCAATCTCAAAGGTTTTAAATGCCCTCGACTCATCTGACCTTGCCCCAACAATCAGCACCATGGCTTCTTCTAAGCAGTTGTCTAGAAAACTGAAACTGAAAATTAGTTGACGCTCACAAAGCTGGAGAAGGGCTATAAGAAGATAGCAAAGCGTTTTCAGATGTCAATATCCTCTGTTCGGAATGTCATTAAGAAATGGCAGTCATCAGGAACAGTGGAAGTTAAAGCAAGATCTGGAAGACCAAGAAAAATATCAGACAGAACAGCTCGCAGGATTGTGAAAAAAAACAATTCAAAACCCACGTTTGACGGCACGATCCCTCCAGAAAGATCTGGCAGACACTGGAGTTGTGGTCACTATTCCACTATAAAGAGATACTTGTACAAATATGGTCTTCATGGAAGAGTCATCAGAAGAAAACCTCTTCTACGTCCTCACCACAAAAATCATCGTTTGAACTTTGCAAATGAACATATAGACAAGCCTGATGCATTTTGGAAACAAGTTCTGTGTACAGACCGATGAGGTTAAAATGGAACTTTTTGGACCGGAATGAGCAAAGGTACGTTTGGAGAAGAAGGGGCACAGAATGTAATGAAAAGAACCTCTGTCCAACTGTGAAGCATGGGGTTGGATCAATCATGCTTTGGGGTTGTGTTGCAGCCAGTGGCACAGGGAACATCTCACGAGTAGAAGGAAAAATGGATTCAATAAAATTTCAGCAAGTTTTGGATGGTAACTTGATGCCATCTGTGAAAAAGCTGAAGTTAAAGAGAGGATGGCTTCTACAAATGGATAATGATCCTAAACACACCTGGAAATCCACGGGGGATTACATCAAGAGGCGTAAACTGAAGGTTTTGCCATGGCCTTCACAATCTCCTGACCTCAACATCATTGAAAATCTATGGATAGACCTTAAAAGAGCCGTGCGTGACAGACAGCCCAGAAATCTCAAAGAACTGGAAGACTTTTGTAAGGAAGAATGGGCAAAGATACCTCAAACAAGAACTGAAAGACTCTTGGCTGGCTACAAAAAGCCTTTACAAGCCGTGATACTTGCCAAAGGGGGCAGTACAAGATATTAAACTCTGCAGGGGGCCCAAACTTTTGCAGACGCCATTTTTTGGTTTTCTGTTATTTTGAAAGTGTAAATGATGGAAATAAAATCTAACTTTTGTTGACATATTATAAGAATGTCTAATCTGTAATTTGATGCCTTTTGGAGATTTTTCCATCTTTCCTTGGCTTCTTTATGCACATTAATACACATTTTTAGCTGGGGGGCCCAAACTTTCCATCCCCACTGTATGTATCATCTGTCATCTCCTGAGTGCAGGCTGACAGGTGACCCCCCCCCCCCCCCCGTGTGTATACAGCAATGTTCATCAGGTATATCTATATACTGTATATGTCATGTCTGTCCTCATCCCTCCATCATACATCCGGGTCACACTCACCTCTGATTGGTCCTCCCTGACTGTGTCGGGTCTCGTAATCCCAACAAAGGGTGACTACAGGGAGCTTAATGGTCACCGAGAGGTCAGATCTCTCCTCTGCCCCCCATCTGCACCCGACTATCATCATCATCCTCCTCCTCCATCTGCACCCGACTATCATCATCATCCTCCTCCTCCATCTGCACCCACTATCATCATCATCATCCTCCTCCATCTGTACCTGACTATCATCATCATCCCTCCTCCTCCATCTGCACCCAACTATCATCATCATCCTCCTCCTCCATCTGTACCCGACTATCATCATCATCATCCTCCTCCTCCGACTCCATCTGTACCCAACTATCTGGTACCCAACATCATCCTCCTCCTCCATCTGCACCCAACTATCATCATCATCCTCCTCCTCCATCTGTACCCGACTATCATCATCATCCTCCTCCTCCATCTGTACCCGACTATCATCATCATCCTCCTCCATCTGTACCCGACTATCATCATCATCCTCCTCCATCTGTACCCGACTATCATCATCATCCTCCTCCATCTGTACCCGACTATCATCATCATCCTCCTCCATCTGTACCCGACTATCATCATCATCCTCCTCCATCTGCACCCGACTATCATCATCATCCTCCTCCATCTGTACCCGACTATCATCATCATCCTCCTCCATCTGTACCCGACTATCATCATCATCCTCCTCCCATCTGTACCCGACTATCATCATCCTCCTCCTCCATCTGTACCCGACTATCATCATCATCATCCTCCATCTGTACCCGACTATCATCATCATCCTCCTCCATCTGTACCCGACTATCATCATCATCCTCCTCCATCTGTACCCGACTATCATCATCATCATCCTCCATCTGTACCCGACTATCATCATCATCCTCCTCCATCTGTACCCGACTATCATCATCATCCTCCTCCATCTATACCCGACTATCATCATCATCCTCCTCCATCTGTACCCGACTATCATCATCATCCTCCTCCATCTGCACCCGACTATCATCATCATCCTCCTCCATCTGTACCCGACTATCATCATCATCATCCTCCTCCATCTGTATCCCCGACTATCATCATCATCCTCCTCCATCTGTACCCGACTATCATCATCATCCTCCTCCATCTGTACCCGACTATCATCATCATCCTCCTCCATCTGTACCCAACTATCATCATCATCATCCTCCTCCATCGGTGCTCAGCTGCTCTTCACTGAAGAATGTTGGTGTCTCCTGGAGGGGAAAATGACCAAAATCTTTATTTATGAAAAATTATATTATTATTTTAATGCGACTGCGGGGGAGGGGACATTAGAGTGTAAGCTCCTCTGGTACAGAGACTGATGTGACTGTGGGGGAGGGGACATTAGAGTGTAAGCTCCTCTGTACAGAGACTGATGGGACTGTGGGGAGGGGACATTAGAGTGTAAGCTCCTCTGTACAGAGACTGATGGGACTGTGGGGAGGGGACATTAGAGTGTAAGCTCCTCTGTACAGAGACTGATGTGACTGTGGGGGAGGGGACATTAGAGTGTCAGCTCCTCTGTACAGAGACTGATGGGACTGTGGGGGAGGGGACATTAGAGTGTAAGCTCCTCTGTACAGAGACTGATGGGACTGTGGGGGAGGGGACATTAGAGTGTAAGCTCCTCTGTACAGAGACTGATGTGACTGTGGGGGAGGGGACATTAGAGCGTAAGCTCCTCTGTACAGAGACTGATGTGACTGTGGGGGAGGGGACATTAGAGTGTAAGCTCCTCTGTACAGAGACTGATGGGACTGTGGGGGAGGGGACATTAGAGTGTAAGCTTCTCTGGTACACAGACTGATGGGACTGCGGGGGAGGGGACATTAGAGTGTAAGCTTCTCTGGTACACAGACTGATGGGACTGTGGGGGGGGACATTAGAGTGTCAGCTCCTCTGTACAGAGACTGATGGGACTGTGGGGGAGGGGACATTAGAGTGTAAGCTCCTCTGTACAGAGACTGATGGGACTGTGGGGGAGGGGACATTAGAGTGTAAGCTCCTCTGTACAGAGACTGATGGGACTGCGGGGGAGGGGACATTAGAGTGTAAGCTCCTCTGGTACAGAGACTGATGTGACTGTGGGGGAGGGGGCATTAGAGCGTAAGCTCCTCTGGTGCAGAGACTGATGTGACTGTGGGGGAGGGGACATTAGAGTGTAAGCTCCTCTGGTACAGAGACTGATGCGACTGTGGGGGAGGGGACATTAGAGCGTAAGCTCCTCTGTACAGAGACTGATGGGACTGTGGGGGAGGGGACATTAGAGTGTAAGCTCCTCTGGTACAGAGACTGGGGGGAGGGGACATTAGAGTGTCAGCTCCTGTGTACAGAGACTGGGGGACTGTGAGGGGACAATAGAGTGTAAGCTCCTCTGGTGCAGAGATTGATGGGACTGTGGGGGAGGGGACATTAGAGTGTAAGCTCCTCTGTACAGAGACTGATAGGACTGTGGGGGAGGGGACATTAGAGTGTAAGCTCCTCTGTACAGAGACTGGGGGGAGGGGACATTAGAGTGTCAGCTCCTCTGTACAGAGACTGGGGGGAGGGGACATTAGAGTGTCAGCTCCTCTGTACAGAGACTGGGGGGAGGGGACATTAGAGTGTCAGCTCCTGTGCACAGAGCCATGCACAGAGAGCCATGTTTGGGTGGTCTGTTGTGTGTGATTATAGTGTCTCTCCTCGGCAGGACGTGTGACTCTCGTGGTCCGGTCTCCTCCTGCGGCCGGGATGGCGTGTTGCCTGAAGGACGAGCTCCTGTGTACAGAGTCTGGGGGGAGGGGACATTAGAGTGTCAGCTCCTGTGCACAGAGCCATGTTTGGGTGGTCTGTATTGGTTGATTGTAGGGTCTCTCTCCTCGGCAGGACGTGTGACTCTCGTGGTCCGGTCTCCTCCTGCGGCCGGGATGGCGTGTTGCCTGAAGGACGAGCTCCTGTGCTCCATCTGTCTCAGCATCTATCAGGATCCGGTTAGCTTTGGCTGTGAACATTATTTCTGCCGGAAATGTATCACGGAGCATTGGAGCCGCCAGAAGCACGGGGGGCCCCTGGACTGTCCGGAGTGCCGGAGGAGCTTCTCGGAGCCCACTCTGTCCCCCAGCCTGAAGCTGTCGAATATTGTGGAGAGGTACTCGGCCTTCCCCCTGGACGCCATCCTCAGCGCCCAGCGCAGCTCCTTCCCCTGCAAGGACCACGACAAGGTGAAGCTGTTCTGCCTGACGGACCGAGCCGTGGTCTGCTTCTTCTGTGACGAGCCCTCCCTACACGAGCAGCACCAGGTGACCAACGTGGACGAGGCCTTCGAGGAGCTGCAGGTCAGTGTGTGAGCCGCCCACGTCATGTGATGCTGCCAACCCAAACCAAGGAACCGAAAATATTCTATATAGAGGGGGAGGAGCCTAATCTCCAGCTGTGATCCCATTGGAGCGATTCCCCCAGTGTCAGGGATATGCTGAGAGTTGTAGTTCCACAATGTGCGTAGCTCCGCCCTCCAAGGCCGTTACAGCCGTGTGCTCCGTATGATGGAGGCGGCTCTATTCCCCGGGTGAAGGTTGTGGACTCCACAGTCCTCCAGGTTCTGTCAGGGAGCTGGGTCAGCACGGAACGCTGGCCATTCACACGCACAATGAGAATAGGTTGTCAGCCAATGTAAAGTCCCCAGAATGAGAGAACTGCAGGGCTGCTGTGGCTGGTCCCCTGACCATGCCGATCCCCTGGCTTCAGTACCTCTGTCCCAGAACCAGCACATTACAAGAGTGAGTCAGAGAACAGTCTCAGCTTCGTGTTCATTGGTTCCAGGTCACTGACTCAGAATGTACTGAAGACAGGGGATCGGCGTGACGGGCAGGGGATGGGCATGACAGGCAGGGGATGGGCATGCTGGTCAGGACAGGCCAGGGGATGGGCATTGGGGATCTGGTCAGGGTTATGGCGTGACGCAGGGGATGGGCATGCTGGGGATGGGCTGGGCACTGGGCTGGGGATCGGCAGGGGCAGAGATGGGCTGGGGATCGGCGTGACGGGCAGGGGATGGGCATGCTGGGCAGAGGATTGGCATGCTGGGCAGGGGATCGGCATGACGGGCAGAGATGGGCTGGGGATCGGCACACTGGGCAGGGTTATGGCACACTGCGCTGGGGATGGCCACGCCGGGCTAGGGATGGGCACACTGGTTTGGGGATCGGGCTGGGGATGGGCACGCCGGGCTGGGGATTGGCACGCTAGGCAGGGTTATGGCACACTGGTTTGGGGATCGGGCTGGGGATGGCCATGCCAGGCTGGGGATGGGCACACTGGTTGGGGATCGATCTGGGGATGGCCATGCCAGGCTGGGGGGCACAATGGTTGGGGATCCTGGGGATGGCCAGCCGGGGGATGGGCACACTGGGTTGGGGATCGGGCTGGGGATGGCCATGCCAGGCTGGGGATGGGCACACTGGTTTGGGGATCGGGCCATGGGGGATGGGCACACTGGTCTAGGGGTCAGCAATGGCTTCTCACATGACAGGTTCTCATTGACGTTGATGCTTCATTCATGTGTCAGATTTGTGGCCCCCCATCGTCTGTGGCCCCCCATCGTCTGTAGGAGGTTCCTGGACGCTCCCGTGATTTCGATGACCTCCATCTGGCGGGTATGTGGCTCTACGGAGGAGTGCTGAGTGTTGGCAGCCGGTACTGACCTCACGAGTCCTGAGGGTGGCGCTGTAACCCCCCCGGTGTGCACCCAGCACTGACCCCCACTAATCCTCTGTAATGCACTCCCTGTGTGTCAGCTATCAGTGGGGGCCCTGAAATGCAGCTTGGGGGGCCCCGCATGGAAGCCACAGGATGGGGGCAGGCTGGGAGTCAGACTCAGGATCCACTATGGAGATAAAAGGGAATTCCCCCAGCCGCACACCTACCCGGGGGCGGAGCAGAACACCTTGGGGGCGTGGCTTCCGATGGAGCAAGCTGAGACTGCTTTTACTTCATATGGGGCAGCAGGAATCCCCTTCTGTGGTCACGGCGGGATGCGGGAATCCCCTTCTGTGGTCACGGCGGGATGCGGGAATCCCCTTCTGTGGTCACGGCGGGATGCGGGAATCCCCTTTATGTGGTCCCTTCGGCGGGATGCGGGAATCCCCTTCTGTGGTCACGGCGGGATGCGGGAATCCCCTTCTGTGGTCACGGCGGGATGCGGGAATCCCCTTCTGTGGTCACGGCGGGATGCGGGAATCCCCTTCTGTGGTCACGGCGGGATGCGGGAATCCCCTTCTGTGGTCACGGCGGGATGCGGGAATCCCCTTCTGTGGTCTCGGCGGGATGCGGGAATCCCCTTCTGTGGTCTCGGCGGGATGCGGGAATCCCCTTCTGTGGTCTCGGCGGGATGCGGGAATCCCCTTCTATGGGTCTCGGCGGGATGCGGGAATCCCTTCTGTGGTCTCGGCGGGATGCGGGAATCCCCTTCTGTGGTCTCGGCGGGATGCGGGAATCCCCTTCTGTGGTCTCGGCGGGATGCGGGAATCCCCTTCTGTGGTCTCGGCGGGATGGGAATCCCCTTCTATGGTCTCGGGGGAAATCCCCTTCTATGGTCACGGCGGGATGTGGGAATCCCCTTCTGTGGTCTCGGCGGGATGCGGGAATCCCCTTCTATGGTCTCGGCTCGTGGGGAATCCCCTTCTATGGTCACGGCGGGATGTGGGAATCCCCTTCTGTGGTCTCGGCGGGAATCCCCTTCTATGGTCACGGCGGGGAAATCCCCTTCTATGGTCTCGGCGGGATGTGGGAATCCCCTTCTATGGTCTCGGCGGGATGTGGAATCCCCTTCTGTGGTCTCGGCGGGATGTGGGAATCCCCTTCTGTGGTCTCGGCGGGATGTGGGAATCCCCTTCTGTGGTCTCGGCGGGATGCGGGAATCCCCTTCTATGGTCTCGGCGGGAATCCCCTGGGAATCCCCTTCTGTGGTCTCGGCGGGATGTGGGAATCCCCTTCTATGGTCTCGGCGGGATGTGGGAATCCCCTTCTATGGTCTCGGCGGGATGTGGGAATCCCCTTCTATGGTCTCGGTGGGAATCCCCTTCTATGGTCACGGCGGGAATCCCCTTCTATGGTCTCGGCGGGAATCCCCTTCTATGGTCACGGTGGGATGCGGGAATCCCCTTCTATGGTCTCGGGCGGGATGCGGGAATCCCCTTCTATGGTCTCGGCGGGATGCGGGAATCCCCTTCTATGGTCTCGGCGGGATGCGGGAATCCCCTTCTATGGTCTCGGCGGGATGTGGGAATCCCCTTCTATGGTCTCGGCGGGATGCGGGAATCCCCTTCTATGGTCTCGGCGGGATGCGGGAATCCCCTTCTATGGGTCTCGGCGGGATGCGGGAATCCCCTTCTGTGGTCTCGGGGAATCCCCTTCTCTATGGTCTCGATGTGGGAATCCCCTTCTATGGTCTCGGCGGGATGTGGGAATCCCCTTCTGTGGTCTCGGCGGGATGTGGTCACGGCGGGAATCCCCTTCTATGGTCTCGGCGGCGGGAATGGTCACGGCGGGAATCCCCTTCTATGGTCTCGGCGGGATGCGGGAATCCCCTTCTATGGTCTCGGCGGGATGCGGGAATCCCCTTCTATGGTCTCGGCGGGAATGCCCCCTTCTATGGATGCGGGAATCCCCTTCTATGGTCGGCGGGAATCCCCTTCTATGGTCTCGGGGGAATCCCCTTCTATGGTCTCGGCGGGATGCGGGAATCCCCTTCTATGGTCACGGGGGGAATCCCCTTCTATGGTCTCGGCGGGATGCGGGAATCCCCTTCTATGGTCTCGGCGGGAATCCCCTTCTATGGTCACGCGGGAATCCCCTTCTATGGTCTCGGTGGGATGCGGGAATCCCCTTCTATGGTCACGGTGGGGAATCCCCTTCTATGGTCTCGGCGGGATGCGGGAATCCCCTTCTATGGTCACGGCGGGATGTATGTCGGTGGTTCCTCTCGCGGAGCCCATGACTGACGGACACCCCGGACTTATCACCTCGGTGTGTGCGACTGCCATCCAACTGTCACTGCTGGTGGGAGTGATCCCTACTCGTGGATCCGTCGCTCTTCCAGGTCACGGGGGATTTCTTGGTCATCGCACCATTATTCTGTCCAGGAGCCACATGTATCCCCCGTGTAGCCTTGACATTGGGGAGAAGGGCCCTGATTGGCTAGTCCTGAAAACAGATCACATGACACGTTGCTCCCTACAGACCGGCTCCCTGACCTTAGGCTGGACCAAGGGGTAGGCAGAAGAGGCAGCTGCCTTGGGTGCTTCAGCAGGAAGGGGCCACGAAAGAACAGCTGGGCCAGCAACCTATGGGGGGAGGGGGCCTTGTTCCAGCACTGACCTTAGAGGAGATCCGCACAGAAGTGCCCAATCACACGCCGGGATCCCATTCCTTGTCCTATAGAGTGCACCTAACAGGAGGGGGAGAGATTCACTCAGATGTTCTATAAGGGGGAGTGGCTGGGTGTGGCCCCTCCCCCCCGTGTGGTAGGACCTCTCCAGAAGGGGGCGGGCACGGTAGATGATCCGGCTCACCTCTCTGTTGTCTCTCTCCAGCGGGAACTGAAGGAGCAGCTCCAGGCGTTGCAGGAGAGCGCCAAGGGCCACACCGAGGCCCTCCAACTACTGAGACGTCAGCTGGCAGAGACCAAGGTAAGACCACGTCCGGGGGGGGGGGGGCCCTGTCCTGGTGGGGGGGGGGCGCCCCGGGCACACAACATCCACATGGGAGAGAATGTGTCCCTCCTGGGGGCCCCTGAACAGCCTGAGGGTCCACCAGGGCAGGATCCAGGCCCTCCCTGACCGGCCAAAATCTGAAAGAAGTGCCTTCCTGCCCTGTCCAACCCATCCCCCCCCCCCCCCCCGGCCAGTGAGCCGGACCCAATGACCCCCTGTTGTGCCCGCCATGTAAAGCCCGGTTGAAGTTTCAGGTCAGAATCGTGTCCATTCGGATGTTCTGATTTGTGACTGACCCCGGCTAGGAAACGCCTCCAAATATTCCCTCTCCCCTCTGCAGGGCTCTGTGCTGGCAGAGCTGAGTAACAGTCACACCCCCTCACACCAGAGGAAGGGAGGGGGCGTGTCTGAGCAGGCCTCTTACTGCATGCTGATTACTGAGGGCACTAGGTCTCACTTTGTTCCTATTGGACATCACAATTCTATTCAGACCCCTCCCCCCCCAGAAAAAGAAGATGGCGGATGTCCGTACCAGGTCCGATCGATCGATTGCAGCTGTGGTGACAGGTTCTCTTTCAGTCTATGGGAAGTATCACCCTGTGCTTTCTTCTCTGCCCAGTCCTCTGCCAAGAGCCTGCGTGCCACCATCAGCGAGGCCTTCGAGCACCTCCACCGCCTGCTGCGAGAGCGCCAGAAGGCCATGCTGGAGGAGCTGGAGTCCGACACGGCCCGCACCCTGACCGACATCGAGCACAAGGTCCAGCGCTACAGCCAGCAGCTGCGCAAGGTGCAGGAGGGGGTGCAGATCCTACAGGACCGCCTGGCGGAGGGCGACAAACACAACTTCCTGGCGGGGATCTCATCGCTGTCTGAGAGGTACCGGGGGGGGGGGCTTCAGACATACAGATCACCCACCATAGATCACCCACCATAGATCACCCACCATAGATCACCCACCATAGATCGCCCACCATAGATCGCCCACCATAGATCCCCACCATAGATCGCCCACCATAGATCGCCCACCATAGATCGCCCACCATAGATCGCCCACCATAGATCGCCCACCATAGATCACCCACCATAGATCCCACATTATAGATCGCCCTCCATAGATCGCCCTCCATAGATCACCCACCATAGATCACCCACCATAGATCGCCCTCCATAGATCGCCCTCCATAGATCACCCACCATAGATCACCCTCCATAGATCACCCACCATAGATCACCCACCATAGATCACCCACCATAGATCACCCACCATAGATCCCCCACCATAGATCATAGATCACCCACCATAGATCCCACATTATAGATCACCCCACCATAGATCCCACATTATAGATCACCCTCCATAGATCACCCACCATAGATCCCACATTATAGATCGCCCACCATAGTTCATCCACCATAGTTCATCCACCATAGTTCATCCACCATAGATCACCCACCATAGATCCCACATTATAGTTCACCCACCATAGATCACCCACCATAGATCGCCCTCCATAGATCGCCCTCCATAGATCGCCCTCCATAGATCATCTATAGATCGCCCTCCATAGATCGCCCTCCCATAGATCGCCCACCATAGATCCCCCACCATAGATCCCCCCCTCCATAGATCGCCCTCCATAGATCGCCCTCCATAGATCGCCCTCACCATTTCACCCACCATAGTTCACCCACCATAGTTCACCCACCATAGATTCACCCTCCATAGATCACCCACCATAGATCGCCCACCATAGATCCCACATTATAGATCGCCCTCCATAGATCCCCTCTCCATAGATCGCCCTCCATAGATTGCCCTCCATAGATCCCCCATCCATAGATCGCCCTCCATAGATCGCCCTCCATAGATCGCCCACCATAGATCACCCACCATAGATCACCCACCATAGATCCCACATTATAGATTCGCCCCTTCATAGATCCCACATTATAGATCGCCCTCCATAGATCACCCACCATAGTTCACCCACCATAGTTCACCCACCATAGATCGCCCTCCATAGATCGCCCTCCATAGATCGATAGATCGCCCTCCATAGATCGCCCTCCATAGATCGCCCACCATAGATCGCCCACCATAGATCGCCCTCCATAGATCACCCACCATAGATCACCCACCATAGATCACCCACCATAGATCCCCACCATGGTTCACCCACCATGGTTGCCCCATGGTTCACCCACCATAGATCCCACACCATAGATCACCCAGCCATAGATCCCCTCACTATAGATCGCCCTCCATAGATCGCCCTCCATAGATCGCCCTCTATAGATCGCCCTCCATAGATCGCCCTCCATAGATCGCCCTCCATAGATCCCACATTATAGATCGCCCTCCATAGATCGCCCTCCATAGATCGCCCACCATGGATCACCCACCATAGATCCCCACTATCACCCACCATGGTTCACCCACCATGGTTCACCCACCATAGATCCCACATTATAGATCGCCCTCCATAGATCCCGCACTATAGGTCTCCCTCCATGGATCCCACACTATAGATCACCCAGCATAGATCCCACACTATAGGTCGCTCACCGTAGATCCCACACTATAGATCCCGCACTATATGTTGCTCACCATAGATCCCACGCTATAGCTCACCCAGTATAGATCCCGCACTATAGATCCCGCACTATAGGTCGCTCACCGTAGATCCCGCACTATAGATCCCGCACTATAGATCCCCACTATAGATCCCGCACTATAGATCCCGCACTATAGATCCCGCACTATAGATCCCGCACTATAGATCCCGCACTATAGATCCCACACTATAGATCCCGCACTATAGATCCCGCACTATAGATCCCGCACTATAGATCCCGCACTATAGATCGCCCTCCATAGATCCCACATTATAGATCGCCCTCCATAGATCCCCCACCATAGAGCGCCCTCCATAGATCGCCCTCCATAGATCGCCCCCCATAGATCGCCCTCCATAGATCACCCACCATAGATCCCACATTATAGATCCCCCACCATAGATCACCCACCATAGATCACCCACCATGGTTCACCCACCATGGTTCACCCACATAGATCCCACACTATAGGTCGCTCACCGTAGATCCCACACTATAGATCCCGCACTATAGATGTTGCCCACACTATAGATCCCACACTATAGCTCACCCAGTATAGATCCCGCACTATAGGTCGCTCACTGTAGATCACTCAGCATAGATCCCGCACTATAGATCCCACACTATAGGTCGCATAGATCCCGCACTATAGATCACCCAGCATAGATCCCACACTAATGATCCCACACTAATAGATCCCGCACTATAGATCACCCAGCATAGATCCCGCACTATAGACCACCCACTATAGATCCCGCACTATAGATCACCACACTATAGATCCCGCACTATAGATCCCGCACTATAGATCCCGCACTATTATCCCGCACTATAGATCCCGCACTATAGATCCCGCACTATAGGTCGCTCACCATAGATCACAGGCGATTAGTAGGGGGAGGGGTAAAGCTTCTGTCGGTTATATTCATTGCAGTTGTGTCCCCACTGATAGGATTTCCCATATTTTCTAGCGGTGACAACGCAGCAAATGTCTGGAGGAAAACGTGAGTTTACAAATGATTGCGTCCTCCGGACCTCGCGGCTCAGCTGTCACATGATGCTCATCTCTCGCTGTGATTGGGCGATCTGTAAATTGTATTCCTCTCCATTCTCCTCTCCAGGTTGAAGGGGAAGATTCACGAGACCAATCTGACCTATGAAGACTTCCCCACCTCCAAGTACATGGGGCCCCTGCAGTACACCATCTGGAAGTCACTCTTCCAGGACATCCACCCAGGTAAGAGGACCTTCCTTTCCTTGTCTGTGATTGGACGACCGTTGTGTCAGGTCCCCCCCCCCCAGAACAGCCAGTCTTGTCCTGATGAGAACGTGATTGGATGGAATAGGTGGTATAGCCATTAAATTAGTTCTTCCTGACTGTTCCCGAAGTGAGTCCCCCCCCATCCTGTACAGTCCTAGGATTGGGGGGCGGGGGGAGGAGGGGGGCGGGGGGAGGAGGGGGCGGGGCATATCTGGATTTTCCTTATTTTAAACGTGAATAAAATGCACAAAGGACAGTCAGGGAGGCTGCGGGTTCTGCACAGACTCCTCCCCCCAGGGACATGGCGGGTTCTGCACAGACTCCTCCCCCCAGGGACAAGGGCGGGTTCTGCACAGACTCCTCCCACAGGGCGGGTTCTCCTCCCCCCCCCAGGGACAACTCCTCCCCCCGGGACGGGTTCTGCACAGACTCCTCCCCCCAGGGACATGGCGGGTTCTGCACAGACTCCTCCCCCCAGGGACATGGCGGGTTCTGCACAGACTCCTCCCCCCAGGGACATGGCGGGTTCTGCACAGACTCCTCCCCCCAGGGACATGGCGGGTTCTGCACAGACTCCTCCCCCCAGGGACATGGCGGGTTCTGCACAGACTCCTCCCCCCAGGGACATGGCGGGTTCTGCACAGACTCCTCCCCCCAGGGACATGGCGGGTTCTGCACAGACTCCTCCCCCCAGGGACAAGGGCGGGTTCTGCACAGACTCCTCCCCCAGGGACAAGGGCGGGTTCTGCACAGACTCCTCCCCCCCAGGGACAGTCCCCCCCCAGGGGGGTTTTCTGCACAGACTCCTCCCCCCCCCCAGGGACAAGGGCGGGGTTCTGCACAGACTCCTCCCCCCAGGGACAAGGGCGGGTTCTGCACAGACTCCTCCCCCCAGGGGACAAGGGGGTTCTGCACAACTCCTCCCCCCCCCCCGCGGGTTCTGCACAGACTCCTCCCCCCAGGGACAAGGGCGGGTTCTGCACAGACTCCTCCCCCCAGGGACAAGGGCGGGTTCTGCACAGACTCCTCCCCCCCTCCCCCCAGGGACAAGGGCGGGTTCTGCACAGACTCCTCCCCCCCCAGGGACAAGGGCGGGTTCTGCACAGACTCCTCCCCCCAGGGACAAGGGCGGGTTCTGCACAGACTCCTCCCCCCCCAGGGACAAGGGCGGGTTCTGCACAGACTCCTCCCCCCCAGGGACAAGGGCGGGTTCTGCACAGACTCCTCCCCCCAGGGACAAGGGCGGGTTCTGCACAGACTCCTCCCCCCAGGGACAAGGGCGGGTTCTGCACAGACTCCTCCCCCCAGGGACAAGGGCGGGTTCTGCACAGACTCCTCCCCCCCCCCAGGGACAAGGGCGGGTTCTGCACAGACTCCTCCCCCCCCCCCCAGGGACAAGGGCGGGTTCTGCACAGACTCCTCCCCCCAGGGACAAGGGCGGGTTCTGCACAGACTCCTCCCCCCAGGGACAGGGCGGGTTCTGCACAGACTCCCCCCCCCCCCCCCCAGGGACAGTCCCAGGACACGACGGGTTCTGCACAGCCTCCTCCCCCCAGGGACAGTCCAGAGAGGCTGGGGTTCTGCACAGACTCCTCCCCCCCCCAGAGACAGTTTCTGCAGGGTCCTCCCGGGCGGGTTCTGCACAGACTCCTCCCCCCCCCCCCCCCCCCCCCCCCCCCCCGGAGACAGTCCAGGACCATGGCGAGTTCTGCACAGACTCCTCCCCCCCCCAGGGACGGTCCAGGGAGATGGCAGGTTCTGCACAGACTCCTCCCCCCCCCCCCCCCCCCCCCCCCCCCAGGGGTGGTCAGGGAGATGGCAGGTTCTGCACAGACTCCTCCCCCCAGGGACATGGGGGGTTCTGCACAGACTCCTCCCCCCAGGGACAAGGGCGGGTTCTGCACAGACTCCTCCCCCCCAGGGACAAGGGCGGGTTCTGCACAGACTCCCCCCCCCAGGGACAGGGCGGGTTTCTGCACAGACTCCTCCCCCCAGGGACAGGGCGGGTTCTGCACAGACTCCTCCCCCCAGGGACAGGGCGGGTTCTGCACAGACTCCTCCCCCCAGGGACAGGGCGGGTTCTGCACAGACTCCTCCCCCCAGGGACAGTCCAGGGACACGACGGGTTCTGCACAGCCTAGCCCCCCCCCCCCCAGGGACAGTCCAGAGAGGCTGCGGGTTCTGCACAGGCTCCTCCCCCCAGGGACAGTCGGGGAGGCGGCGGGGTTCTGCACAGACTCCTAGAACCCCCCCCCCCCCCCCCCCCCCCCCCGGAGACAGTCCCAGGACCATGGGCGCGTTCTGCACAGACTCCTCCCCCCCCAGGGACGGTCCAGGGAGATGGCAGGTTCTGCACAGACTCCTCCCCCCCCCCCCCCCCCCCCCCCCAGGGGCGGTCCAGGGAGATGGCAGGTTCTGCACAGACTCCTCCCCCCAAGGGGACGGTCCAGGGACACGACGGGTTCTGCACAGACTCCTCCCCCCCAGGGACAGTCCAGGGACACGACGGGTTCTGCACAGACTCCTCCCCCCAGGGACAGTCCAGGGACACGACGGGTTCTGCACAGACTCCTCCCCCCGGCAATGTACATGTATGAACAGTCCCGGCTCAGACATGTGCATTCCGGAGAGATGCAGTCACTGGAGTCCAGGAGATGAGTGACAGCAGATTTGTGGTCGGGGTGGTTTTTCCTCTCGTTGTCACCAGGCGTGTCAGATTTATGTCTGGAGAAAGTTGGGTGTAACAGGTGTGTGTGAGGGCGGACGGGGCCCCCGCCTGGGGGAGAATGACCCCGAGCAGACGGGGCCGCTGGGGAGGGCACGTCTGTCCTTTCCTCCTGCTGGGGAGTCTGCAGGGTTCAGGCGATGTCGGGGTTCAGGATTCCTCCCAGACTCCTGTACTCAGCATTCATTGTAGGAAGTGCCTGTCGTGGCCCACATCAATATCTGAAGGCCAGAAGCAGGTAAGAATAAGGGAGAGAACGTTCCCCTGAGATCCCTGCGGTGGGTCCAGCTGACCTGGAAGGGAGAGAACGTTCCCCTGAGATCCCTGCGGTGTGTCCAGCTGACCTGGAAGGGAGAGAACGTTCCCCTGAGATCCCTGCGGTGTGTCCAGCTGACCTGGAAGGGAGAGAACGTTCCCCTGAGATCCCTGCGGTGGGTCCAGCTGACCTGGAAGGGAGAGAACGTTCCCCTGAGATCCCTGCGGTGGGTCCAGCTGACCTGGAAGGGAGAGAACGTTCCCCTGAGATCCCTGCGGTGGGTCCAGCTGACCTGGAAGGGAGAGAAACGTTCCCCTGAGATCCCGGCAGTGTGTCCAGCTGACCTGGAAGGGAGAGAACGTTCCCCTGAGATCCCTGCGGTGGGTCCAGCTGACCTGGAAGGGAGAGAACGTTCCCCTGAGATCCCGGCGGTGTGTCCAGCTGACCTGGAAGGGAGAGAACGTTCCCCTGAGATCCCTGCGGTGGGTCCAGCTGACCTGGAAGGGAGAGAACGTTCCCCTGAGATCCCGGCGGCGTGTTCAGCTGACCTGGAAGGGAGAGAACGTTCCCCTGAGATCCCGGCGGTGTGTCCAGCTGACCTGGAAGGGAGAGAACGTTCCCCTGAGATCCCTGCGGTGTGTCCAGCTGACCTGGAAGGGAGAGAACGTTCCCCTGAGATCCCTGCGGTGGGTCCAGCTGACCTGGAAGGGAGAGAACGTTCCCCTGAGATCCCGGCGGCGTGTTCAGCTGACCTGGAAGGGAGAGAACGTTCCCCTGAGATCCCGGCGGCGTGTTCAGCTGACCTGGAAGGGAGAGAACGTTCCCCTGAGATCCCGGCGGCGTGTCCAGCTGACCTGGAAGGGAGAGAACGTTCCCCGGCAGACACAGACTTGCCAGGAAACATTCCCTTCCGTACAGAACAATAGAATGTGTCGCCGGGATTCCATCCTGAACTCTGCACATCGTCCTCATCATGTAACTGACTTCAGGAGAATCCTTGCAGTGGAATTCACAGCTCATTCACCTCCTCCCTCTCCCTAGTAGCAGGATTCCAGCTCATTCACCTCCTCCCTTCCCCCAGTAGTAGGATTCACAGCTCATTCGCCTCCTCCCTTCCCCCAGTAGCAGGATTCACCAGCTCATTCACAGGATTCCCATTCTCCACCTTCTCCCTAGTAGCAGGATTCCCAGCTCATTCACCTCCTCCCTTCCCCCAGTAGTAGGATTCACAGCTCATTCACCTCCTCCCTTCCCCCAGTGGTAGGATTCACAGCTCATTCACCTCCTCCCTTCCCGTAGTGGTAGGATTCACAGCTCATTCACCTCCTCCCTTCCCGTAGTGGTAGGATTCACAGCTCATTCACACTCCTCCCTTCCCGTAGTGGTAGGGATTCCCAGCTCATTCACCTCCTCCCTTCCCCCAGTAGCAGGATTCCCAGCTCATTCATTCACCTCCTCCCTTCCCCCCAGAGTAGTAGGATTCACAGCTCATTCACCTCCTCCCTTCCCCAGTGGTAGGATTCACAGCTCATTCACCTCCTCCCTTCCCCCAGTAGTAGGATTCACAGCTCATTCACCTCCTCCCTTCCCCCAGTAGCAGGATTCACAGCTCATTCACCTCCTCCCTTCCCCCAGTAGCAGGATTCACAGCTCATTCACCTCCTCCCTTCCCGTAGTGGTAGGATTCTCAGCTCATTCACCTCCTCCCTTCCCCCAGTAGTAGGATTCCCAGCTCATTCACCTCTTCCCTTCCCCCCCCAGTAGCAGGATTCCCAGCTCATTCACCTCTTCCCTTCCCCCAGTAGCAGGATTCCCAGCTCATTCACCTCCTCCCTTCCCCCAGTAGTAGGATTCACAGCTCATTCACCTCCTCCCTTCCCCCAGTAGTAGGATTCCCAGCTCATTCACCTCCTCCCTTCCCATAGTAGCGGGATTCACCTAAATCTTTCATGTTCCGTGTCTCCTCAGTGCCCGCGGCGTTGACGTTGGACCCAGTGACGGCCCACCAGCGCCTGATCCTATCAGATGACTGTACAATCGTGGCGTACGGTAACTTGCACCCTCAGCCTCTGATGGACTCTCCGAAGCGCTTTGACGTGGAGGTGTCGGTGTTGGGCTCGCAGGTCTTCGATGGAGGCGTGCACTACTGGGAGGTGGTGGTCTCCGACAAGACGCAGTGGATGATAGGACTGGCCCACGAAGCCGTGAGCCGCAAGGGAAGTATCCAGATCCAACCCGGAAAAGGCTTCTACTGCATCGTGATGCATGATGGGAACCGGTACAGCGCCTGCACCGAGCCCTGGACCCGGCTCAACGTCAAGAGCAAGTTGGAGAAGGTGGGCGTCTACCTGGACTATGATAAGGGTCTTCTCATCTTCTACAACGCCGACGACATGTCCTGGCTCTACACCTTCCGTGAGAAATTCCCTGGAAGACTGTGTTCATATTTCAGTCCTGGCCAGAGCCACGCCAACGGCAAGAATGTACAACCGCTACGCATTAACACGGTGCGAATATAGCGCCGTGTACCCCCCCCCCCCCCACCATGCTGCTGCCTGTCTGGGTGGAGGGAGGGACCCCATATTTAGATAGAAATAAGCTTTCTCCATCGTCTGCTGAGGGACACAGGAATTCACAACAGTCGGGTGGTTATACCGCTGCCTACAGGAGGTTTCGAGAAAAACAGCCCCCCCATAACCCATCCTGGACCCAGCCAGGGTTGAGTGCCTTCTCTTCAGCTCGGCTGAACCAAAAGTCTAACTTTGTGCTTCTCCTCCCATTCTACTGGTGTTCAGAGGCATCAGCCTGGGGTCACAGTATGCCTTCACACCTGCCCGTCCTTGTTAGGGGGCCTCCTGAGAACCCCTTTAAGGACTAAGAAGTCAGGCTGACTGCAGGGAACAACCAGTCTCGGCTATACCTGGGGACACTAAACCGTGAGGGTTAGCACCCTTCTTAGATATCTCGTGGGAGATGGGTTATCTTGCCGGACATCCAAGGGTGGGGGTGTAAGGCTTGGACCCTTCATTTATAAACCAGCTCATTCCCTCTTGTGGACTGATTCAGTGATCCCTCTGGGGCCTTGTCCTCCTGGGGTTTGACCCCCGTGTGGGGGCCTTGTCCTCCTGGGTTTGACCCCGTGTGGGGGCCTTGTCCTCCTGGGGTTTGACCCCCGTGTGGGGGCCTTGTCCTCCTGGGGTTTGACCCCCGTGTGGGGGCCTTGTCCTCCTGGGGTTTGACCCCCGTGTGGGGGCCTTGTCCTCCTGGGGTTTGACCCCCGTGTGGGGGCCTTGTCCTCCTGGGGTTTGACCCCCGTGTGGGCGCCTTGTCCTCCTGGGGTTTGACCCCCGTGTGGGCACCTGTCCTCTTGGGGTTTGACCCCCCGTGTGGGCACCTGTCCTCTTGGGGTTTGACCCCCGTGTGGGCACCTGTCCTCTTGGGGTTTGACCCCCGTGTGGGCACCTGTCCTCTTGGGGTTTGACCCCCGTGTGGGCACCTGTCCTCTTGGGGTTTGACCCCCGTGTGGGGCACCTGTCCTCTTGGGGTTTGACCCCCGTGTGGGCACCTGTCCTCTTGGGGTTTGACCCCCGTGTGGGCACCTGTCCTCTTGGGGTTTGACCCCCGTGTGGGCACCTGTCCTCCTGGGGTTTGACCCCCGTGTTCTTTCTGTTGACCATGACTATGTTTTGCTTGTCAAGCAGTTGCCTTCTTCCACCAGTTCTGGTGGTTTCTTGGTCCAAGCCTTTAGCTGCAATGGGCGAAGTGTGACCTTGGATGGAACCATTCCACTTGGTGGTGATTCATTGTGTCCTGATCCTCTGTGGCCTCCTGTTGTGCTTGGCAGGGGCTCCACCTCAAAGTCTTCACATCTGAGTGTTGGTCTTCCTGGGAGTTTGTGTGTTACCAACGGTTCCTGGTCCCTTCTTGGCTCTATCAGTGGCTCCTGCCCTCCCCTCTGGAGGGGAGGACTTCTCATGGATGTCCCAGCTGTTCCTGGATTCCTGTGCCCATCAATGGACGATGTCAGATTCTGTACTTGCCCAAAATTCTTTTTCTTGGAGTGTCCCACCTGTCTGGTTTATGCTGGCCCTGCTGAGGCATGCTGGGTACAGGAGGTGTTATGTGGGGGCTGGCCTACACGGTTACTGTTTGTGGGTGTCCAGTCCTCCTGTAGGAGGCAGTATAACCCAACTGTAGATGAATTCCTGTGTCCCTCTATGGACCCCAAGAAAAAGATTTTAGGGTAGGTTCAAAAACAATCTATATTTAGCCTATATTATAAGAGGACCAATGAAAGTGTCAGTCCAAGGAGGCCCCACCCCCTATAAGAGAACCAATGAAAGTTTCGCAGGCGTGTGTCAGTCCAAGGAGGCCCCACCCCCTATAAGTGGACCAATGAAAGTGTCGCAGGCGTGTGTCAGTCCAAGGAGGCCCCACCCCCTATAAGTGGACCAATGAAAGTGTCAGTCCAAGGAGGCCCCACCTCCTATAAGAGGACCAATGAAAGTGTCGCAGGCGTGTGTCAGTCCAAGGAGGCCCCACCTCCTATAAGAGGACCAATGAAAGTGTCGCAGGCGTGTGTCAGTCCAAGGAGGCCCCACCGCCTATAAGAGGACCAATGAAAGTGTCGCAGGCGTGTGTCAGTCCAAGGAGGCCCCACCTCCTATAAGAGGACCAATGAAAGTGTCACAGGTGTGGAACAGTGCAGGGAGGCCCCACCTCCTATAAGAGGACCAATGAAAGAGTCACAGGTGTGGAGAGGCCCCACCCCTTCAGGACTGACTCCTACAAGTAGACCAATGAAAGTATTGCAGGTGAGGACCAGGGCAGAGAGGCTCCGCCCCTTCAGGACTGACTCCATCTGCCATATAGAAGGATCGGACGCTGGAGCCAGGAACTTCGCCGGATCTCATCCGCCTACAGAACGTCCAACCACACGGGAAACCTCCCCTATAATCCGAAGGGTGGGAGTCGTATTCTCCGAGACTGGCGAGCCGTTCAGAGCAGAGGATTCTGGGAAAACACGTTCTGATTCCTGGATCCAATCTCTCCCCCCCCCCCCCCCCCCCCCCCCCGAATGTGGAGGCCCAATGGTAAAAAGGGCTCATTTCCTGCCTGCCGGAGGCATTCCACATACTGTACCAATCTGATCACACAACCAGCGAATGAAGGACCAATGTGAGGCGGATGTGGGAGGAGCTTAGATCAGCCCGGTGGATGGACAGAACTATTAGAAGCTTTATAAATGTATTTGCTGCAATACTCACATTCTATCCTGAGCTGCCCCCCCCCCCCCCCACACTATTACAATTGAGGTCTGAGTTCAGGCCGTCACCAACCCACCACCAGTCTATGATTGGGTGGTGAAAGGAGAAGCCGCAGACTGATGAGCACATCTCTCTGCTCTCTCCTCCTGTCAGCATGCCCCCTGTTAGCACAGGTTGAGCTTTAGAAACATTTGGCTAGCATTGGGCTTCAGCCACTTGAAATCTATGTGCTGCTAAGGAGGGAATGAACAGAAGGAGTAGGTGATTGACCTCCCTGTGACGCTCCGCCCATAACAGGTCAATACTGGTCAGACCCCCCCCCCCCCCCCCCCCCTCATGTCACCATATAACAATTCTCTTCTCACCGACAGACCATTGTAACCCAAAACTGGACTCCATTGAGGTTGGAGTGACGTGAGAGCAGAGAACCATTGCACTTCGAGGACCTCCATCCAGACAAATCAAGCAAGTCTACAAATGTCGCTCTTTAGCTCCTCCCTCCCTTGTGCTGCCCTCCCGAGAGCTCCACAAGGATTCTCCCCACCGATTCTCTGAATGAGTTCTAGTCATTACCATCCCCCCCCCCCCACATCTCTGGAGCTTCTATCATCGTACATTGCCTGAGAAGAATCTGCTGCATATTGCACAGTCAGGAGGGAGGGACATTGCACCTCAGCAATTTGACGGCCTCAGTTTTCGTTTTTAATCTGCTTTCACTTCATTCCACCCAAATCTGATTCTTCTCTGGTGTATGAGAACTAAACTCTGGTCTGTGATTGGCTACCTGAACTGTAATCAGGTGAGTAGTAGGTGGTCACATCCACATGGACATGTTCTGTAATGCTGAAGACGTTTTTCGTAAATTCTCCAAGACACTGAAGATCCCCCAACATTCATCTCCACATAGGTAGAGGCCTTCAATCATGGAATGTGCCATGGCATATGTTGTCCAGGTACAGGTGGAGGTTGGGAAGGCTGGGGGACCGCCCTGTTCTAGTTACATCATCCCCATCCTTGGCACCAGGAAGTCTGCATGGGTGTCAGTCCTTCCATTCACATGACTGAGGTTTGAATTGTCAAATTGCCAGGGTGGAGATGATAAAGTGGCATTATATGGGGATGATAGATGGTGTTGGAGGCCTCCACCCCTGTTCAAGGATGGTTGTCCCAGTTTGACGTAGATATTCTCTTGTGAACCAGCTGTCCAAAATGTGCACCTTACTGCCCTGGCCTGAAAGAATGTAGGTGTCTTGACCTGTAAAATTTGACCTCCTATGTTGTGTCTTGACCTGTAGAATTTGTCCTACGACAGACCTTGACCAGTTGATTCTCCTAAGCCGGGGTCTTGACTTGTAGAATTTGACCTATTATGTTGAGTCTTGACCTGTAGTATCTGACCTCCTATGGGAATCTTCAACTGAAGCATTTGTCCTTCTAGGTCTCGTCTCGACCTGTAGAATCTGCCCTCCTAGGTCTCGTCTCGACCTGTAGAATCTGCCCTCCTAGGTCTCGTCTCGACCTGTAGAATCTGCCCTCCTAGGTCTAGTCTCGACCTGTAGAATCTGCCCTCCTAGGTCTAGTCTCGACCTGTAGAATCTGCCCTCCTAGGTCTAGTCTCGACCTGTAGAATCTGCCCTCCTAGGTCTAGTCTCGACCTGTAGAATCTGCCCTCCTAGGTCTAGTCTCGACCTGTAGAATCTGCCCTCCTAGGTCTAGTCTCGACCTGTAGAATCTGCCCTCCTAGGTCTAGTCTCGACCTGTAGAATCTGCCCTCCTAGGTCTAGTCTCGACCTGTAGAATCTGCCCTCCTAGGTCTAGTCTCGACCTGTAGAATCTGCCCTCCTAGGTCTAGTCTCGACCTGTAGAATCTGCCCTCCTAGTTCGAGTCTTGACCTGTAGTATCTGACCTCCTATGGGAATCTTCAATTGAAGAATTTGTCCTTCTAGGTCTCGTCTCGACCTGTAGAATCTGCCCTCCTAGGTCTAGTCTCGACCTGTAGAATCTGCCCTCCTAGGTCTAGTCTCGACCTGTAGAATCTGCCCTCCTAGTTCGAGTCTCGACCTGTAGAATCTGCCCTCCTAGTTCGAGTCTCGACCTGTAGAATCTGCCCTCCTAGGTCTAGTCTCGACCTGTAGAATCTGCCCTCCTAGTTTGAGTCTTGACCTGTAGTATCTGACCTCCTAGGTCTAGTCTCGACCTGTAGAATCTGCCCTCCCTAGTTCGAGTCTTGACCTGTAGTATCTGACCTCCTATGGGAATCTTCAATTGAAGAATTTGTCCTTCTAGGTCTCGTCTCAACCTGTAGAATCTGCCCTCCTAGGTCTCGTCTCGACCTGTAGAATCTGCCCTCCTAGGTCTCGTCTCGACCTGTAGAATCTGCCCTCCTAGGTCTAGTCTCGACCTGTAGAATCTGCCCTCCTAGGTCTAGTCTCGACCTGTAGAATCTGCCCTCCTAGTTCGAGTCTCGACCTGTAGAATCTGCCCTCCTAGTTCGAGTCTCGACCTGTAGAATCTGCCCTCCTATGCTGGACCTTTTGTTTCGTGGAGGTTGCCTCGTCTCCCCAATGTCCTGGTCTTTGTATTCCTCTCTACATGGACCAAGTTCCTTCCCTTGAGTGTGGCTGTTGGGTCTGAAGAAATGTCTTGGAGAAGCTAGCAGCCATCTTCACCATGACACCTTCCATCTGGAAGTGACCATCTACCACTAGATACACCATGACCAGGCCCCATGAGAAGCTTCTCAGCCTTATCTCAGAACCTGGTGAGATGTCCATCCCAATGTAGAGGGAGACGTTGATCTCATGGTTCTCCTCCGTCTCAGATCTGCAGTTGTTTAGATGTAACAAAAGGTGCAAATCCTGATATGACCCGGATCATGTTACAGCACCGCAGAGAAATGTCACAATAAACTGTGAAAAGGTTGTCTGGTTGTCCCTTTATTGCCGGATAATTGTATTTTATATTGAGAGCTGCAGCTTCGCCCTCTACTGGTGGTCAGGGTGTTGAGCTTACAGTCCGGTAACACTGCTGAGATAAGAACAATTGGCCACGCACTCTTCCTTCATATATCCTATCAGTGGGAGGAGCATAGGCTGCTGTGGGCTGGTTCCATGAAATGGGTCAAATGACTAGTATGTCAGTCAAGTAGCATTTTTCGGAGGTCAGCAATGTTTTCCTGTTTATTTCCTTTAGGCTGACCATACACTCTGATGGTCACATGTGTAGGCACACCCACACTGGAGGAGGGCGGGAAGATGTAGGCACACCCACACTGGTGGAGGAGGGCGGGAAGACGTAGGCACACCCACACTGGTGGGAGGAGGGCGGGAAGACGTAGGCATACCCACACTGGTGGAGGAGGGCGGGAAGACGTAGGCACACCCACACTGGTGGAGGAGGGCGGGAAGACGTAGGCACACCCACACTGGTGGGAGGGGCGGAAGACGTAGGCACACCCACATTGGGGGGGAGAGTGGGAAGACATGTAGGCACACCCACACTGGTGAGGAGAAGGGCGGGAAGACGTAGGCACGCCCACACTGGTGGAGGAGGGCGGGAAGACATGTAGGCACGCCCACACTGGAGGAGGAGGGCGGGAAGACGTAGGCACGCCCACACTGGTGGAGGAGGTGGGGAAGACATGTAGGCACACCCACACTGGAGGAGAAGGGCGGGAAGACGTAGGCACGCCCACACTGGTGGAGGAGGGCGCGAAGACATGTAGGCACGCCCACACTGGAGGAGGAGGGCGGGAAGACGTAGGCACGCCCACACTGGTGGAGGAGGGCGGGAAGATATGTAGGTACACCCACATTGGCAGAGGAAGGTGGGAAGACATGTAGACACACCCACACTGGAGGAGGGCGGGGAGATATGTAGGCGTGTCCACATTGGCGGAGGAGGGTGGGAAGACATGTAGGCGCACCCACACTGGTGGAGGGTGGGAAATGCTGCCTCCTCCTTCTACAAAGTTACAATGTACAGTCTGATCAGTGGGGGAGGGGAGCCATCCCCCTGAGAAATGCCTCCCCCTCCTACAAAGTTACAGTGTACAGTCTGATCAGTGGGGGAGGGGAGGAAATGATTGGAGCTCACACATAAATAATGAAAGGTCGTGTTTGATTGGCCGGTGTCTGTATGTTGGGACAAATAATCAGAAGTTCGGAGTTTCGGCCGATAATGAGACCATCACACAGAATTAGGAGGAATTTACAGGCAGATGCAGCTTTATTGGAGGCGTGTCCCTGGGAGGACAATAGACGAACTCTCAGAGGGGCGGAGTCTCCTGGTTTGGACTCGCCCGGAATCACCTGAAGAAAATACTTTTGTTCCTCTGCTGGGTGAATGTTCCGGGTCACTGGTGGTGGACGGCGGCTCCTGGCTCAGCGGGGAAGAGTCGGGTCGTATGAAAGATTTTAATAAAAGTACAAAAAAAAAAAAATCAGCAGTGACTCCACTAAAACAACATAAAAACAAGTAAAAGTACAGAGTGGTGGAGGAGTTGGGATGGGAGCACCCCGTGTCTGGTCATCCATGGTGGAGGAGCTGGGGATGGGAGCACCCGTGTCTGGTCATCTATGGTGGAGGAGTTGGGATGGGAACACCCGTGTCTAGTCATCCATGGTGGAGGAGTTGGGATGGGAGCACCCCGTGTCTGGTCATCTATGAGTGGAGGAGTTGGGATGGGAGCACCCCGTCTGGTCATCTATGGTGGAGGAGTTGGGATGGGAGCACCCCGTGTCTGGTCATCCATGGTGGAGGAGTTGGGATGGGAACACCCCCGTCTCTGGTCATCTATGGTGGAGGAGTTGGGATGGGAACACCCCGTCTCTGGTCATCAGAGGTGGAGGAGTTGGGAAGGGAGCACCCCGTCTGGTCATCTATGGTGGAGGAGCTGGGATGGGAGCACCCGTGTCGTCATCTATGGTGGAGGAGTTGGTCACCCCGTCTATGGTCATCTATGGTGGAGTTGGGATGGGAACACCCCGTCTCTGGTCATCTATGGTGGAGGGGTCAGTTGGGATGGGAACACCCCGTGTCTGGTCATCAGAGGTTGAGATGGGAACACCCCGTGTCTGGTCAGTGGGATGGGAGCACCCCGTCTGGTCATCCATGGTGGAGGAGCTGGGATGGGAGCACCCCGTGTCTGGTCATCCATGGTGGAGGAGCTGGGATGGGAGCACCCCGTCTCTGGTCATCAGAGGTGGAGGAGTTGGGATGGGAACACCCCGTGTCTGGTCATCAGAGGTGGAGGAGTTGGGATGGGAGCACCCCGTCTGGTCATCCCATGGTGGAGGAGCATGGGAGTAGAGTGGATCAGGAGAGGAGTTGGGATGGGAGCACCCCATCTGGTCATCAGAGGTGGAGGAGTGGGATGGGAGCACCCCGTCTGGTCATCAGAGGTGGAGGAGTTGGGATGGGAGCACCCCGTCTGGTCATCAGAGGTGGAGGAGTGGGATGGGAGCACCCCGTGTCTGGTCATCAGAGGTGGAGGAGCTGGGATGGGAGCACCCGTGTCTGGTCATCCATGGTGGAGGAGCTGGGATGGGAGCACCCCGTGTCTGGTCATCAGAGGTGGAGGAGTTGGGATGGGAGCACCCGTGTCTGGTCATCAGAGGTGGAGGAGTTGGGATGGGAGCACCCCGTCTGGTCATCAGAGGTGGAGGAGTTGGGATGGGAGCACCCCGTCTGGTCATCAGAGGTGGAGGAGCTGGGATGGGAGCACCCCGTGTCTGGTCATCAGAGGTGGAGGAGTTGGGATGGGAGCACCCCGTCTGGTCATCAGAGGTGGAGGAGTTGGGATGGGAGCACCCCGTCTGGTCATCCATGGTGGAGGAGTTGGGATGGGAGCACCCCGTCTGGTCATCAGAGGTGGAGGAGTTGGGATGGGAGCACCCCGTCTGGTCATCAGAGGTGGAGGAGCTGGGGATGGGAGCACCCCGTCTGGTCATCCATGGTGGAGGAGTGGGATGGGAGCACCCCGTCTGGTCATCAGAGGTGGAGGAGTTGGGATGGGAGCACCCCGTCTGGTCATCCATGGTGGAGGAGCTGGGATGGGAGCACCCCGTCTGGTCATCCATGGTGGACATACTGGGATTGAAGTATCTGGCCATCTGTGGGCGTTATTTCCCGGACATCTGTTTACAGAACGCTTCAAACTGCTGCTGCTCCAAGTCGGTCATCACCTTGTTCAGGGCGTAGATCTGAAATGAAGAGAACCCGTCACCTGCGGCACACGCCATGAAATACACAACAGACGTTGTCAGCAGAGAGGAAGATCATTGGCTGTGCACAGCTGACTTCCTGTCAGTACCCCTCCCCCAGCCATCGGGCAGATTGGACGACTCGCACAGATCACCTCACTAATTATGACTCCCAATTCTGAACTATTAGTGAGGGAAGTAAATTGCCGGCCCGCGGCGGTCCTATAAACGCCCCCCGCGGGGTGATGATCTCGGCTTCTGTGCCAGGAGGAAAACCTCAAGGTCTCCAGACATGATCTGACGTCACAGACTGGGGCCCGGGGGCCACCTTCTCCACCACATCCTGCTGAACACGAACTGGTGGGTGAGCGCCAAGTAAACCACAATGTGGGCGGAGCCCTCGCCCATCCCCCGGCATGAATTGTGATCCCCATGTCTGACGGACTACAGGAACTCGTTCATCTCCACACGGAACGTCACGTCGCGGATCCAGGACAAAACCCGCGGAGATGAGGGCGCCCCACCCCCCGTGTCTACCTGGGGGCAGCAACCAATCAGATCCTTCTACTCTCTCATCAGTAGCAGTGAAGGGAAATCTGGGCTCTGATTGGCTGTTCGGACCGTTCTCCAGGTTGCCCTCTGATGATGGAGCTCAGGGGTGTGGTCTGGGTGGAGCATTGGGGGCGGAGCATTGGGATCTTTACATAGATTGGAGCAGATCAGCGAGTAGGAGGTCCAAAGTGCAGCAGAAACCACTCTGGATCCGCACTCCGCAGAACCGCAATCCTGACAACTTTATTGACAGCAGTTGGACAGAGACGCTCCCAGACTGACTTCCCCGACACGTTTCGCCCCCCTAGTGCCGATAATCGAAGTACTCTGGGATTGGTCCCACTAGGGGGCGAAACACACCGAACAATGGCGGCCTGCGGAGCGTCTCTGTCCAATCACTGTTAATAAAGTTGTGTCAGGATTACGGAGGTGTGGAGAGCGGCTCAGTGGTGTTCTCTCCTTCTGACCTATGGGGGGGGGGGGGGGGTGACGGGGCCTGGATTGGGCTTTGCTCTTGTGGTTGGTTCTACGAGTACTGTGGGGGGATGGTGGAGAAGAAGAGGATCTCTGCTGAGGGGTCCCTGTACTGGAGTTATGGGGGGCTGGCAGAGAGAACAGTACTGGGGTACCGAGATGGAGAGGGCGGGTCCTTATACGGACTATGAGGGTGGTGATAGTGGGGATCTATGGAAGGAAGGGTGATGGGCTGAGGCCATTGGGATGATGGATGGGGGATTTGGCCGAGGTTTTTATGGTTGGGGTACTGTGGTGGGGATGGTAAAGTACTGAGGGTTAGGGTACTATAGATGGAGTTCTGTGGAGGGGACGCTTTGCTTGGGGTACCATTGTGTATGAGCTGCTTCAGCTGAGGGGCCGTGGTGGAGTACTATGGGTGGGGTGATGGTATTGGGGTACTTTGGGGGGTGCGATTAGGGTTGGCTGGGGTCATCAGTATGACATAAGGGCAGAGTACTGTGGGGGAGTATTATGGGTGGAGTCCCGTGGTGGGAGTATTATGGGTGGGAGTACTGTGGGGGGGAGAGTATTATGGGTGGAGTTCCATGGAAGGAGTACTGGGGGGGAGTATTATGGGTGGAGTCCTGTGGAGGGAGTATTGTGGGTGGAGTATTATGGGTGGAGTTCCATGGAGGGAGTACTGTGGGGGGAGTATTATGGGTGGAGTCCTGTGGGTGGAGTATTATGGGTGGAGTTCCATGGAGGGAGTACTATGGGGGGAGTATTATGGGTGGAGTTCCATGGAGGGAGTACTGTGGGTGGAGTATTATGGGTGGAGTTCCATGGAGGAGTACTATGGGGGGAGTATTATGGGTGGAGTCCTGTGGAGGGAGTATTGTGGGTGGAGTATTATGGGTGGAGTTCCATGGAGGGAGTACTGTGGGGGGAGTACTATGGGGGGAGTATTATGGGTGGAGTTCCATGGAGGGAGTACTGTGGGGGGAGTATTATGGGTGGAGTTCCATGGAGGGAGTACTGTGGGGGGAGTATTATGGGTGGAGTTCCATGGAGGGAGTACTGTGGGGGGAGTATTATGGGTGGAGTTCCATGGAGGGAGTACTGTGGGGGGAGTATTATGGGGGGAGTCCCGTGGTGGGAGTCCCGTGGATGGGGGCGTGTGACACTCGGTAGTAGGCGGTGGTGTCGGTGTCACTGATCCCCGAGTATCTCTACAATCAGATCTGGGCAGAGTATAGGAGATCAGCCAGAAAAACCGGCTGGATGGGGGGGGGGGGTAATTCTCTGCCCCCGGGGTGAAATACTTTGGAGGATTCTCACACCCTCCTTACCAGGGCGTCTCCGGAGGAGTACAATGCATGTGTTCAGTATGTGTCACGTGTCCCCGGGGGGGGGGGGGGGGGGGGGGGGGGGGTACACCACACATACACACACCTGTCACTGCACACACGGGTGACAAGGACCTATTGGGGTCACACATCACACATTGGGGTCACACATCACACATTGGGGTCACACATCACACATTGGGGTCACACATTGGGGTCACACATCACACATTTGGGGTCACACATCACACACTGGGGTCACACATTGGGGTCACACATCACACACTGGGGTCACACATTGGGGTCACACATCACACACTGGGGTCACACATTGGGGTCACATTGGCCGCATGTATCGGCTCAGCCGGTCTATTTATACCGCAGAGCGCGCCTATTTATAACCCTGAGCAGGGGGCGGGCTCAGGGGGCAGTTTGTTGCCATGGCACCCGGTACAAAGAATATGTCTGTTGCTCATAGCAACCAGTCAGTGCCCCGTATTACAGACTGCAGAGATCTGGCTGCACCCCCTCCCCCCGGTGACCTTCTATTACTGGGCGCCCCTCCCCCGGTGACCTTCTATTACTGGGCGCCCCTCCCCCCCGGTGACCTTCTATTACTGGGCGCCCCTCCCCCCGGAGACCCTCTATTACTGGGCGCCCCTCCCCCCGGTGACCCTCTATTACTGGGCGCCCCTCCCCCCGGTGACCCTCTATTACTGGGCGCCCCCCTCCCCGGGAGACCCAACATTAAGCAATGGTGGCCCAGAAAGCTGCCAGGGGGTCCCCCAACAATGGACAGAGAGAAGAGGGGGGATGACCATGCTGGTACTGGATGCAATCTTTATAATAGAGGCCCCCCCCAGGTCTGAACATGTGAACTGACATCTGGAGGGGTTCTTTACAGTCAGGGGAGAGGGGAGGGGGTCCTCACAGTCACGGGAGAGGGGGAGGGGATCCTTACAGTCAAGGGAGAGGGGAGGGGATCCTTACAGTCAAGGGAGAGGGGAGGGGGTCCTCACAGTCAGGGGAGAGGGGAGGGGTCTTCACAGTCAGGGGAGGGGGGGTCCTCACAGTCAGGGGAGGGGGGAGGGGTTCCTCACAGTCAAGGGAGAGGGGAGGGGTCCTCACAGTCAGGGGAGAGGGGAGGGGGTCCTCACAGTCAAGGGAGGGGGGAGGGGTTCCTCACAGTCAAGGGAGAGGGGAGGGGTCCTCACAGTCAGGGGAGAGGGGAGGGGGTCTTCACAGTAAGGGGAGGGGGTCCTCACAGTCAGGGAGAGGGGAGGGGGTTCCTCACAGTCAGGGAGAAGGGAGGGGGTCCTCGCAGCTCATTCATTTCTATGTGTGACAGCAAACAAAGAGTTAAACTCCCAGCGGACTCCGGGGAGCGCACGCCGGTTCTGCCGCAGATTTCAGCGGATTGTGAAGAGCGGAGCGGCAAACTTCACGATGGGGGACACGATGGGGGACAGGATGGGGGACAGGATGGGGGACAGGATGGGGGACACGATGGGGGACACGATGATGGGGATGGGGGATATGAATCCCTCCAGAGACATTGTAGCAGCAGAATAGGAGGAGGAGCTCCAACAGAGTAATGGAGGGCGCTGAGGACGGGGCGGGGTGCAGCTGAACGACATCTGATGCAGAATGCAGAGCTGGGTGGGGGGGGGAGGGGGGGATTCTCCCTCTGGCTGGGGATGGGCGGGTCATACAATTTGGAAGGAATGTTTTGGGATGGCTCTCCTATTGGCTGCCCTCCCTCAATGTGTGCGGGTGGAGCCGAGCTCTGACTCAACTATTCTGTTTTCCTCCCTAGTGAGGCCGAGGAGGACGAGAGCATTTCTGCCCCAGCCGGTTCTGCTCCTCTGCACAGGACCACCAGCCCGGTCCCTGCTCCTCTGCACAGGACCCCCAGCCCGGTCCCTGCTCCTCTGCACAGGACCCCCAGCCCGGTCCCTGCTCCTCTGCACAGGACCCCCAGCCCGGTCCCTGCTCCTCTGCACAGGACCCCCAGCCCGGTCCCTGCTCCTCTGCACAGGACCCCCAGCCCGGTCCCTGCTCCTCTGCACAGGACCCCCAGCCCGGTCCTCCTGCACATCAGACAAGATGTTTATACTGAACAGCCTTAAAGCCGGAGGAGGAGGAGGAGGAGGTGGTGGAGGAGGAATTGGAAATGTCCTACAAGGGGCCATCAGCGGCCTGGCAGGTTCAGGCCAAGGCGGAGGTGGAGGAGCTGCAGGTGTTGGAAACCTTCTACAAGGAGCCATCAGCGGCCTTGCAGGATCTGGGCAAGGCAGAAGTGCCGGAGGTCAAGGTGGGTGGTGGTGGTGGTGGTGGTGGAGGTGTCGGCAACATCCTAGGAACCATCAGTGGTCTGGCAAGTTCTGGACAAGCTGGAGGTGCCGGAAAGTTCTTAAAAGGTGCCATTGGCAGTCTAAGTGGTGGTGGTGGACAGGCTGGAGGCCCCGGGAAGCTCTTTGCAGGAGCCGGAGGCCCCGGGGGAGGCGGTGGACAAGGAATGAACATCCTTGGGGGAATTCTTGGACTTATCGGCGATGCCATTGCAAGCTACAAGCCGGAGCCTCCCCCTCCTCCATCCGCCAACGTTTACCAACAAGAAGCCACCGAGAACGACGAGCAGAAGCAGTTCCGTCGCCTCTTCCGGCAGCTGGCTGGGGAGGACATGGAAGTTGACCCCGCGGAGCTCCAGAACGTCCTGAACAAGGTCGTGGCCAAGCACCAGGACCTGAAGACCGACGGCTTCAGCATCGACACGTGCCGCAGCATGGTGGCCGTCATGGACAGCGATGGAACGGGCAAGTTGGGCTTCGAGGAGTTCAAGTATCTCTGGAACAACATCAAGAAGTGGCAATGTATCTACAAACAGTTCGACACGGAGAAGACGGGCTACATCCCCGCCGCCTCCATGCCGGCCGCCATCCAAGCTGCCGGCTTCCAGCTCAACGAACAACTTCACCAGCTGCTGGTCCGCCGCTACGCCGACGATCGAGGCAACGTGAACTTTGACAGCTTCATCAGCAGCCTGGTCCGCATGGACTGCATGTTCCGGGCCTTCAAAGCCTTGGACCGGGAGGGCAACGGCCAGATTCAGATCCGGCTCCCGGAATGGATGAAGATGACCATCTACTCGTAAGGGCGCTCAGAGCCCGCGGGGCCCCTGTGGAAGTATAATCTCAGCGCGGTGAGGGGCCACTGGTGTCGCCTCTCCTTCCTGTAAGCAGCTCCCGTCTCTTTGTTTTTACCCCCCAATGCTGGCAATAAAGGCAGAATGTAGAAAGATGAGCGGACTGGCCATTCATTCCCAACGCGGGTCACCGGAACCCGGGGCCACAACTTAACCCCTGCAGTGCTGAGGCTGGCGGCCCCATACCCTCCCTCCCCCCGGCTGCACACTCATGTAGTTACATGTATGACTCACACCATGGGCATCTCAGGAACTGCACACGCCTGACAACCACCCGACACAATGCCGCTGCCCTCAGCACTGGGGGGGTTAATAGTCGCCCCGGGGGGGGGGGGGATATCGCAGAGGAGGAACCCCCAAATGTGGCCGTCCGAGGCGGTGCAGGTAAAATGTGCGGTCAGCGTGACCTCAGAACCCGTCTGGTTGCTATGGGTTACTGCACCCATCATGGTACCCCCCGCTGTCTAAAGGGCCCCGTCACATGGTGGGGGTACAGTTCACCCCCCCCCCCCCCCAGACAGGTACCCCCCACCTCTCCCACAATGCAAAGTGACCAATTCAGAGGCACCAGCAGTGCATTGTGGGACGTGGTGGGGGTGCTGGGGGCACATGATCATCAGACAGTACAATAGGAACGTCTGGAAACTGCATGGGGGGGGGGGGGGGCAGTGTACTAATGTTGAATATGTGTGTACTGTGGTGGGGGGGGGGGGGTCCAGTGTACTAATGCTAATGCTGAATGTGGGGGGGGGGGGGGGTACTAACGCTGCAATGTGGGGGGGGGGGGTACTGTAATGCTGAATGGGGGGGGGGGGGGGGGGGGGGTCCAGTGTACTAATGCTGAATGTGGGGGGGGGGGTCCAGTGTACTAATGCTGAATGGGGGGGGGGTCCAGTGTACTAATGCTGAATGTGGGGGGGGGGTGCCAGTGAAATGTGGGGGGGGGGGGGGGTCCAGTGTACTAATGCTGAATGTGGGGGTCCAGTGGGGGGGGGGGGGGTCCAGTGTACTAATGCTGAATGTGGGGGGGGGGGGGGTCCAGTGTACTAATGCTGAATGTGGGGGGGGGGGGTCCAGTGTACTAATGCTGAATGTGGGGGGGGGGGTCCAGTGTACTAATGCTGAATGTGGGGGGGGGGGTTTGGGGTCCAGTGTACTAATGCTGAATGTGGGGGGGGTCCAGTGTACTAATGCTGAATGTGGGGGGGGGGTCCAGGTACTAATGCTGAATGTGGGGGGGGGGGGGTCCAGTGTAATAATGCTGAATGTGGGGGGGGGGGGTCCAGTGTACTAATGCTGAATGTGGGGGGGGGGGGGGGGTCCAGTGTACTAATGCTGAATGTGGGGGGGGGGGTCCAGTGTACTAATGCTGAATGTGGGGGGGGGGTCCAGTGTACTAATGCTGAATGTGGGGGGGGGGGGGTCCAGTGTACTAATGCTGAATGTGGGGGGGGGGGTCCAGTGTACTAATGCTGAATGTGGGGGGGGGGGGGGGTCCAGTGTGTACTAATGCTGAATGTGGGGGGGGGGGGTCCAGTGTACTAATGCTGAATGTGGGGGGGGGGTCCAGTGTACTAATGCTGAATGTGGGGGGGGGGGGGGGGGGGTGTACTAGTGTACTGCTGAATGTGGGGGGGGGGGGTCCAGTGTACTAATGCTGAATGTGGGGGGGGGGGGTCCAGTGTAGTGTACTAATGCTGAATGTGGGGGGGGGGGTCCAGTTGTACTAATGCTGAATGTGGGGGGGGGGGGTCCAGTGTACTAATGCTGAATGTGGGGGGGGGGTCCAGTGTACTAATGCTGAATGTGGGGGGGGGGTCCAGTGTACTAATGCTGAATGTGGGGGGGGGGACAGTTCCCAGTGTACTAATGCTGAATGTGGGGGGGGGGTCCAGTGTACTAATGCTGAATGTGGGGGGGGGGGGTCCAGTGTACTAATGCTGAATGTGGGGGGGGGGGGGGTCCAGTGTACTAATGCTGAATGTGGGGGGGGGGGTCCAGTGTACTAATGCTGAATGTGGGGGGGGGGGTCCAGTGTACTAATGCTGATGTGGGGGGGGGGGTCCAATGCTGAATGTGGGGGGGGGGGGTGGTCCAGTGTACTAATGCTGAATGTGGGGGGGGGGGGGGGGGTCCAGTGTACTAATGCTGAATGTGGGGGGGGGGGGGTGTCCCAGTGTACTAATGCTGAATGTGTGTGGGGGGGGGGGTCCAGTGTACTAATGCTGAATGTGGGGGGGGTCCCAGTGTACTAATGCTGAATATGGGGGGCAGTGTGCTAATGCTGAATGTGGGGGGGGTCCCAGTGTACTAATGCTGAATGTGGGGGGGCAGTGTGCTAATGCTAATGCTGAATGTGTGGGGGGGCAGTGTGCTAATGCTGAATGTGGGGGGGGGGGGGTCCAGTGTGCTAATGCTGTGGTGTCCCCCATCCCTCCAAACTGCATATGTAAATGAGCCCTTACTGTTGGGAGCCCCTATCAGGCTGCTTTCACACTGATCTGCTGCGGTTTGCCCACACCCGGGTTAGACTCGCCCTGTACCCTGTGGGCGGGGCGCTCTCTGCATTCAGGTACTTTGGTGCGCTTTTGAGAATGCATCAACCCCACAGAATATAATGGATGTCTATGGCTGAGTGCAGGGAAGGTGCACCCGGGTGTGGGTAGTCCGCAGCAGATCAGTGTGAAAGCAGCCCTGTACTATTATGGCCGGTATACGGCTTCACACTGACCTGAGGATCTCTCCTGCCGCTGACACCACTATGGAGACCGCCAGCTGGGGTAAGAGGTGGGGTGCAGGTGGTGTCACTCGGCATGGGGCAGGAGCCGGCACTACAGAGGAGGCGTGGCTTATGCAGCTCCTACTACAGACCCAACTTTACAGGTCGTCCCTCCGCACTGCACTCTGATTGGTGCTCACCAGGCCCAGACCGCCCTCTGCTGGTCACCTGACCCTCGCTGTACAGGCTGCAAATCAATGAGGTAGACACCGCTACTACATCCTACTACATCCCTACTACACCGCTACTACACCGCTACTACATCCCTACATCCCTACAACCTCACCGCTACTACATCCCTACTACACCTCTACATCCATACAACCTCACCGCTACTACATCCCTAACACCACACCGCTACTACATCCCTACTACCTCACCGCTACTACATCCCTACTACACCTCTACATCCCTACTACCTCACCGCTACTACATCCCTACTACACCTCTACATCCATACAACCTCACCGCTACTACATCCCTACTACACCTCTACATCCCTACAACCTCACCGCTACTACATCCCTACTACACCTCTACATCCCTACAACCTCACTGCTACTACATCCCTACTACACCTCTACATCCATACAACCTCACTGCTACTACATCCCTACTACACCTCTACATCCCTACAACCTCACTGCTACTACATCCCTACTACACCTCTACATCCATACAACCTAACTGCTACTACATCCCTACTACACCTCTACATCCATACAACCTCACTGCTACTACATCCCTACTACACCTCTACATCCCTACAACCTCACCGCTACTACATCCCTACTACACCTCTACATCCCTAACACCACACCGCTACTACATCCCTACTACCTCACCGCTACTACATCCCTACTACACCTCTACATCCATACAACCTCACTGCTACTACATCCCTAACACCACACCGCTACTACATCCCTACTACCACACCGCTACTACATCCCTACTACACCTCTACATCCCTACTACCTCACCGCTACTACATCCCTACTACACCTCTACATCCCTACAACCTCACCGCTACTACATCCCTACTACACCTCTACATCCATACAACCTCACTGCTACTACATCCCTACTACTACACCTCTACATCCCTACTACTTGGATGAGGTAGAGAGATGGGTGGTGACATCACAATATCTGCCTCGTCCAATCAGAAGACACTGTAGTCACCACTGTGCTGAGCGAATGACCTCCAGTATTCTCCACACAGCCGCTCCGCACACCACCTGGAGAGCACTGGGGTCCGGGGTGTAGTAGCAGTGATCTAGTAGCGGTGCGGGTAGGGTGTGGTAGGGGCGCGGTGGTAGCAGTTCGGTAGGGGCGCGGTAGCGGGTGTGGTAGGGGCGCAGTAGAGGGTGCGGTAGCGGTGCGGTAGCAGTGCGGTAGGGGCGCTGTAGGGGTGCGGTAGCAGTTCGGTAGGGGTGCGGTAGCGGTGTGGTAGCGGTGCGGTAAGGGTAGGGGCGCAGTAGAGGTGCGGTAGCGGTGCGGTAGCAGTTCGGTAGGGGCGCTGTAGCAGTTCGGTAGGGGCGCGGTGCGGTAGGGGCGCAGTAGAGGTGCGGTAGGGGTGCGGTAGTAGCAGTTCGGTAGGGGCGCGGTGCGGTAGGGGCGCAGTAGAGGTGCGGTAGGGGTGCGGTAGCAGTTCGGTAGGGGCGCGGTAGCGGTGTTCGGTAGGGGCGCAGTAGTGCGGTAGAGGTGCGGTAGCGGTGCGGTAGCAGTTGCGGTAGGGGCGCTGGTAGGGGTGCGGTAGCAGTTCGGTAGGGTGCGGTAGCGGTGTGGTAGCGGTGCGGTAGGGGTTCGCAGTAGAGGTGCGGTAGGGGCGCGGTGCAGTTGCGGTAGGGGTGCGGTAGCAGTTCGGTAGGGGCGCTGTATGGGGTGCAGTAGCTGTACCTGTACAATGATTTCCAGCTTCCTCAGGGATCCCCGGGTCTGGTGCAGTCACTCAGGTCTGAGCTGCAACATTGGGGGGGCCCTCAGAATGCGGAGCCCCCCCCCCCCGTAGACGGGAGCCAATCGGCTTCTACCTTCAGCTTGTTCTATAAAGCTTTGACTATAAATCCTGGAAGCTGATTGGTTCCCAGGCCGAGCCCCCCTCCCCCCATCTCTGGGGGATGTGACCCGGTCCTGAGTCGGGGTGAATGAACCCCAACAGATACCACGGCGGCCATTGCTGACCTCCTCCTGACCCGTGCCAGGTGAGAGCGACTGACCACACAGGGTCCTCACCCCACCATACACCTTCCAACCGGATTGTACAATCTCCTCCACACCCACCTGATCTACAGAACACCACATCTGCCTGGACTGTCCATTCACAGACCCTTGTTGTAGGATCGTCCAATCAGATTGGAAGAAGTGAGCAGGACACAATGGTGGGCACAATCTATCCGGGTGTCGGCCCACACACAGCACAACCGCCATTGGGGGATAAGGCGACCCGATCTATGGACAACCTGATATCACCGGCCCGTCAGAGGAGACTCGGGGTGTCACCGGCCCGTCAGAGGAGACTCGGGGTGTCACCGGCCCGTCAGAGGAGACTCGGGGTGTCACCGGCCCGTCAGAGGAGACTCGGGGTGTCACCGGCCCGTCAGAGGAGACTCGGGGTGTCACCGGCCCGTCAGTGGAGACTCGGGGTGTCACCGGCCCGTCAGTGGAGACTCGGGGTGTCACCGGCCCGTCAGTGGAGACTTGGGGTGTCACCGGCCCGTCAGAGGAGACTCGGGGTGTCACCGGCCCGTCAGTGGAGACTTGGGGTGTCACCGGCCCATCAGAGGAGACTCGGGGTGTCACCGGCCCGTCAGTGGAGACTCGGGGTGTCACCGGCCCGTCAGTGGAGACTCGGGGTGTCACCGGCGGGAGAGATCATCAGAAATCCCTCATCTCAGATCCCCGTCCTCACATGTGGGGGTCCAGGAGCCGGAGATCCCGCCAATTACACACTTCCTGTCCCGGGGTGACAACGCTCATTCATTGTATCTATGGAGGAGCAATGTTATGTTGTCACCCCAGAACAGGACGATAGAGACCCTCCTCCCCCTTCCCCCCCGGCAACTCTCCATAACATGGGGGAGGTGTCCTGTAGTCTTCAGAACACGTCCAATGGGGGAGTTACAAGACCAGAAGGGAGCCAATCAGAGAAGATCACTGCTGGTGGCTACAGACAACCAGTCACATGGCCCCACTCTGCTACATCTACCTACTTCCTGTCCTGGTGACCCCTGTGCCTCTGATTTTATGTTCTGGTGTCACAGGGAGGGAACACTGACAGGAGCGGGGTCACAGACAGAAATGACCTGTCGGAGGTTCCTCCTCACTCCACCCCCAACTAGAAGACAAAACTCCACCTGGATTCATGAGCAAGATCTGCACCGCTCTGGTGTTCCCAACTCTGCCCCTGTCCTCACTGATCTCCTTCTGGTGTTCCCAACTCCGCCCCCTGTCCTCACTGATCTCCTTCTAGTGTTCCCAACTCCGCCCCCTGTCCTCACTGATCTTCTGGTGTTCCCAACTCTGCCCCTGTCCTCGCTGATCTCCTTCTAGTGTTCCCAACTCCACCCCCTGTCCCATGCTCACTGATCTCCTGGTGTTCCCAACTCCACCCCCTGACCTCACTGATCTCCTTCTGGTGTTCCCAACTCCACCCCCTGTCCCATGCTCACTGATCTCCTGGTGTTCCCAACTCCTCCCCCTGTCCTGTCTTCACTGATCTCCTTCTGGTGTTCCCAACTCTGCCCCCTGTCCTCACTGATCTCCTTCTGGTGTTCCCAACTCCTCCCCCTGTCCCGTGCTCGCTGATCTCCTTCTGGTGTTCCCAACTCCTCCCCCTGTCCAGTGCTCACTGATCTCCTTCTGGTGTTCCCAACTCCGCCCCCTGTCCAGTGCTCGCTGATCTCCTTTTGGTGTTCCCAACTCCTCCCCCTGCCCACCGTGCTCACTGATCTCCTGTCCTGTGATCGGTAATCTTCATCTGGTGTTCCTGACTCCGCCCCTGTCCTGTGACCCCGCCCCTGTCCTGTGATCAGTGATCTATCTCTGGAGTTCAGGCCCTAATTCCCAAAGTGGCAAAGAAGATAGGTGTAGTAAGATGGCGGACACAGGAAGTGGCAACTAAAGGATGTGGCAACTAATAAGGCGGACAGAGATGTGGGTGTAGTAAGATGGCGGACACAGGAAGTGGCAACTAAAGGAAGGGTGTAATAAGAAAGCGGACAGAGATGTGGGAGTAGTAAGATGGCGGACACAGCAGCGATAACAGAGCTGGGTGTAGTAAGATGGCGGCCGGAGCCGCACAGGGAGGGAATGGCGGGCGGGTACCTCGGCTCTCTGGCGCTGTTTCAGCTCCTGCTGGGCGCTCTTCTGTTTGGCTTTCTCCAGGCGGCTCACAGACTCTTTGGGTTTGGATTTCTCTTTCCGGCCGGCGGGCTCCATGACAACCAGCGCTGTACTCTGCCTTGTAGAGGCCTTCGCTCGCTCCCGAAGCGCGTCCTAGAGCCTCACTGCGCATGCGCAGATGTTGTGACGTACTCTCCCTAGAGCCGAGGCGGGTCAGGGACCTGTAAGAGCTGAACGAGAGAATCCTGACAGGAAGTGAGGTGGGAGCTGGGAAATAGCGTCCCACAGGAAGGGAGGTGTATGCTGGGAAATAGAGTCCCCACAGGAAGGGAGGTGTATGCCGGGAAATAGAGTCCCCCCACAGGAAGAGAGGTGTGTGCCGGGAAATAGAGTCCCCACAGGAAGGGAGGTGCGTGCCGGGAAATAGAGTCCCCACAGGAAGGGAGGTGTATGCCAGGGAATAATAGTTCCCACAGGAAGGGAGGTGCGTGCCGGGAAATAGAGTCCCCCCACAGGAAGGGAGGTGTATGCTGGGAAATAGAGTCCCCACAGGAAGGGAGGTGTATGCCGGGAAATAGAGTCCCCCCACAGGAAGGGAGGTGTATGCCGGGAAATAGAGTCCCCCCACAGGAAGGGAGCTGCGTGCTGGGAAATAGAGGCCCCCCACGGGAAGGAAGGTGCGTGCCGGGAAATAGAGTCCCCCACGGGAAGGGAGGTGCGTGCCGGGAAATAGAGTCCCCCACGGGAAGGGAGGTGTGTGCCGGGAAATAGAGTCCCCCCACGGGAAGGGAGGGGTGCGTGCCGGGAAATAGAGTCCCCCACGGGAAGGGAGGTGCGTGCCGGGAAATAGAGTCCCCCCCGGGAAGGGAGGTGCGTGCCGGGAAATAGAGTCCCCCCACGGGAAGGGAGGTGCGTGCCGGGAAATAGAGTCCCCCCACAGGAAGGGAGCTGCGTGCCGGGAAATAGAGGCCCCCCACGGGAAGGAAGGTGCGTGCCGGGAAATAGAGTCCCCCACGGGAAGGGAGGTGCGTGCCGGGAAATAGAGTCCCCCACGGGAAGGGAGGTGCGTGCCGGGAAATAGAGTCCCCCACGGGAAGGGAGGTGCGTGCCGGGAAATAGAGTCCCCCCACGGGAAGGGAGGTGCGTGCCGGGAAATAGAGTCCCCCCCATGGGAAGGGAGGTGCGTGCCGGGAAATAGAGTCCCCCCCACAGGAAGGGAGGTGCGTGCCGGGAAATAGAGTCCCCCAGGTAGTGTGACACCACCAGAGGACCACCATGACACCCCAATAGGACAGCGCGTCCTAGAGCCTCACTGCGCATGCGCAGATGTTGTGACGTACTCTCCCTAGAGCCGAGGCGGGTCAGGGACCTGTAAGAGCTGAACGAGAGAATCCTGACAGGAAGTGAGGTGGGAGCTGGGAAATAGAGTCCCCACAGGAAGGGAGGTGTATGCTGGGAAATAGAGTCCCCACAGGAAGGGAGGTGTGTGCCGGGAAATAGAGTTCCCACAGGAAGGGAGGTGCGTGCCGGGAAATAGAGTCCCCACAGGAAGGGAGGTGTATGCCGGGAAATAGTCCCACAGGAAGGGAGGTGCGTGACGGGAAATAGAGTCCCCACAGGAAGGGAGGTGTATGCCGGGAAATAGTCCCCACAGGAAGGGAGGTGCGTGCCGGGAAATAGAGTCCCCCCACAGGAAGGGAGGTGTATGCTGGGAAATAGAGTCCCCCCACAGGAAGGGAGGTGTATGCTGGGAAATAGAGTCCCCACAGGAAGGGAGGTGTATGCCGGGAAATAGAGGCCCCCCACGGGAAGGAAGGTGTGTGCCGGGAAATAGAGTCCCCCACGGGAAGGGAGGTGCGTGCCGGGAAATAGAGTCCCCCACGGGAAGGGAGGTGCGTGCCGGGAAATAGAGTCCCCCCACGGGAAGGGAGGTGCGTGCCGGGAAATAGAGTCCCCCCCTTGGGAAGGGAGGTGCGTGCCGGGAAATAGAGTCCCCCAGGTAGTGTGACACCACCAGAGGACCACCATGACACCCCAATAGGACAGGAGGGAGGGCCTCCCCTGAGGACCAGTATGAGGGGAGTGGCCCTGACACACCTGATCATTATGGGTGGAGTTTGGACATTCACTGTGACCTCTGATACCTTGTGGGAAGTCCAGCAGTGAACCCCGCCCCCAAGGACCCTGGCCCCACCCCTCTAATCACACAACAGAGGGCGGGGCAGTGTTGGTTCTGGGTGGTAAAATGTGAAGCCGGCCCCTCCCCCAGTGCGACCACCAATCATTATCAGACGATCGATGATCCCGATCTGTACAGTTCTGGTGGTCTGAAGACCCAGAAACCCCTCATCCCGGCTGCATGGAGGATGTCAGTACCAGGGGGGGAGGGGGGGTGCTTTCTGTCATTTATTATTATACAGGATTTATAGAGCACCGGCGCTGTACCATATAAGGGGGGGGGCAAGGGGGGCGGTAAAGGTACAATAAAATACAGGAGGGCCCTGCTCATAGGAGCTTACAATCTAATGGGGCGGGGCTAGTGGTACGGAAGGTTAGAACTGATGGGAGAGATATGAGTTCAGTTGTTGGGTGGAGGAGGGGCAGGCTTCCCGAGGAGGTGAGTTCTCAGGGATCTCCTAAAGGGGGCAGAGTGGGGTAGGGAGTTCCAGAGGATGGGAGAAGTTCTGGAGATGAGCATGGGAGGAGGAGCCTAGAGAGTCCGAGGTCATAGGATTCCCTTCCATCGTACAATAGAAGTGATACCCCCCCATGTCCTCTGACCCCCCCCCTGTCCTCTGACCCCCCCCCATGTCCTCTGACCCCCCCATGTCCTCTGACCCCCCCCATGTCCTCTCTGACCCCCCCCATGTCCTCTGACTCCCCCCCCCATGTCCTCTGATACCCCCCCATGTCCTCTGACCCCCCCCCCCTCTGACCCCCCCATGTCCTCTGACCCCCCCCATGTCCTCTGACTCCCCCCCCCCATGTCCTCTGATACCCCCCATGTCCTCTGATACCCCCCATGTCCTCTGATACCTCCCCATGTCCTCTGATACCTCCCCATGTCCTCTGATACCCCCCCATGTCCTCTGATACCCCCCCATGTCCTCTGACCCCCCCTCCATGTCCTCTGACCCCCCCCCCCCCATGTCCCTGATACCCCCCCCATGTCCTCTGACCCCCCCCATGTCCTCTGATACCCCCCATGTCCTCTGACCCCCCCCCCATGTCCTCTGATACCCCCCCATGTCCATGTCCTCTGCCCCCCCTCTGACCCCCCCCAGTGGATGGTGATGACGGTGACAACAGGTGACGTCCCGGTGTCGGGGACAGTGATTCATCCCACATGTGGCTCTTCCCTGCCCCTCCTCCGGGTTAAACTTCAACCACAAAAGAAGAAGAAGAAGAACAAGTGTCACCGACACCCGAGAGGAGAGGAGCCGACTCTTCACTGCTCCCCACAGGTGAGACATGGGGGGGGGGGGGCATTAGGGATTGGGGGGGGGGGTCAGACAGGGGAATCCTCACACCTCCAGTCACATGATTCTGGTGCTCCAATCCCCTCCATATAATGCGATTCAGGTGTTCCAATCCCCTCCATATCATGCGATTCAGGTGTTCCAATCCCCTCCATATCATGTGATTCAGGTGTTCCAATCCCCTCCATATATGTGATTCAGGTGTTCCAATCCCCTCCATATCATGTGATTCAGGTGTTCCAATCCCCTCCCAATCATGCGATTCTGGTGTTCCAATCCCCTCCATATCATGTGATTCAGGTGTTCCAATCCCCTCCATCATGCGATTCTGGTGTTCCAATCCCCTCCTTATCATGCGATTCAGGTGTTCCAATCCCCTCCATATCATGTGATTCAGGTGTTCCAATCTTCTCCATATCATGCGATTCAGGTGTTCCAATCCCCTCCATATCATGCGATTCAGGTGTTCCAATCCCCTCCATATCATGTGATTCAGTGTTCCAATCCCCTCCATATCATGTGATTCAGGTGTTCCAATCCCCTCCATATCATGTGATTCAGGTATTCCAATCCCCTCCGTATCATGTGATTCAGGTGCTCCAATCCCCTCCATGTCATGTGATTCAGGTGTTCCAATCCCCTCCATATGTGATTCAGGTGTCCCAATCCCCTCCATATCATGTGATTCAGGTGTTCCAATCCCCTCCATATCATGTGATTCAGGTTTTTCAATCCCCTCCAATCATGTGATTCAGGTGTTCCAATCCCCTCCGTATCATGTGATTCAGGTGTTCCAATCCCCTCCGTATCATGTGATTCAGGTGTTCCAATCCCCTCCATATCATGTGATTCAGGTGTTCCAATCCCCTCCATATCATGTGATTCAGGTGTTCCAATCCCCTCCATATCATGTGATTCAGGTGTTCCAATCCCCTCCATATCATGTGATTCAGGTGTTCCAATCCCCTCCATGTGGACACAGGTGTATACAATCAAGTCCCTAGGCATGCAGACGGCTTCTACAAACATTGGTGAAAGAATGGGTCGCTCTCAGGAGCTCAGTGATGGATGCTGTGGTGTAAAGCACGCCGCCACTGGATTATAGAGCAGAGGAGATGTGTTCTCTGGAGGGACCAATCACGCTTCTCTGTCTGGCAATCTGATGGACATGTCTGGGTTTGGCGGTGGCCAGGAAAACGGTACTTGCCTGACTGCATTGTGCCCAGTGTAAAGTTTGTTGGAGGGGGATTATGGTGTGGGGGTGTTTCTCAGGGGTTGGGTTGGCCCCCTAGTTCCAGTGAAGGGAACTCTTAAGGCAACATTTTGGACAATTTCATGCTCCCAACTTTGTGGGAGGAGTTTGGGGATGGCCCCTCCCTGTTCCAACATGACTGCCTACCAGTGCACAAAGCAAGGTCCATAAAGACATGGAGGAGCCAGACACCAAAGATCGATAGAAGAGAAGATCGGTCGGACAGTGATTGGTGGGACAGTGATCGGTGGGACAGGGATCAGTCGGACGGGGATCGGTGGGACGGGGATCGGTGGGACGGGGATCGGTGGGACAGGGATCGGTGGGACAGTGATCGGTGGGGACAGGGATCGGTGGGACAGTGATCGGTGGGACAGTGATCAGTCAGACGGGGATCAGTGGGAGAGTGATCGGTGGGACGGGGATCGGTGGGACAGGGATCGGTGGGACGGGGATCGGTGGGACGGGGATCGGTGGGACAGTGATCGGTGGGACGGGGATCGGTGGGACAGTGATCAGTCGGACGGGGATCAGTGGGACAGTGATCGGTGGGACAGTGATCGGTGGGACAGGGATCGGTGGGAGGGATCGGTGGGACAGGGATCGGTGGGACAGTGATAGGTGGGACAGTGATCGGTGGGACAGTGATCGGTGGGACAGGGGATCGGTGGGACAGTGATCAGTCGGACGGGGATTCAGTGGGAGAGTGATCGGTGGGACGGGGATCGGTGGGACAGGGATCGGTGGGACGGGGATCAGTCGGACGGGGATCAGTGGGAGAGTGATCGGTGGGACGGGGATCGGTGGGACAGGGATCAGTCGGACGGGGATCGGTGGGACGGGGATCGGTGGGACGGGGATCGGTGGGGACAGTGATCGGTGGGACAGTGATCGGTGGGACAGGGATCAGTCGGACAGTGATCGGTGGGACAGTGATCGGTGGGACAGGGATCGGTGGGACAGGGATCAGTGGGACAGGGATCGGTGACAGGGATCGGTGGGACAGGGATCGGTGGGACAGTGATCGGTGGGACAGTGATCGGTGGGACAGGGATCAGTCGGACAGTGATCGGTGGGACAGGGATCGGTGGGACAGTGATCAGTCGGACGGGGATCAGTGGGACAGTGATCGGTGGGACAGTGATCAGTCGGACGGGGATCAGTGGGAGAGTGATCGGTGGGACGGGGATCGGTGGGACGGGGATCGGTGGGATGGGGATCGGCCGGACAGATGAGGCGTGTCCTCTGCCGTGGATTGTACAATCTGGAAATATTGTCAGTTTCTCACCGTTCATCTCAATCAGAAATCTGCGCTTCTATGGACCAGCCAATCCGGGCTCTCTAATTGGACAGTCAACTCCTGGGATTCTGTGTTGTCATGGTGAAGAGGATGGGGTCAGTTATCAGGGGATGGTGTCAGTTGTCAGCGGATGGTGTCAGTTGTCAGCGGATGGTGTCAGTTGTCAGCGGATGGTGTCAGTTATCAGGGGATGGTGTCAGTTATCAGCGGATGGAGTCAGTTGTCAGCGGATGGTGTCAGTTGTCAGGGGATGGTGTCAGTTGTCAGGGGATGGTGTCAGTTATCAGGGGATGGTGTCAGTTGTCAGGGGATGGTGTCAGTTGTCAGCGGATGGTGTCAGTTGTCAGGAGTCAGGATGGTGTCAGTTGTCAGGGGATGGTGTCAGTTGTCAGGGGATGGTGTCAGTTGTCAGCGGATGGTGTCAGTTATCAGGGGATGGTGTCAGTTGTCAGCGGATGGTGTCAGTTATCAGGGGATGGTGTCAGTTGTCAGGGGATGGTGTCAGTTATCAGCGGATGGTGTCAGTTGTCAGGGGATGGTGTCAGTTGTCAGGGGGATGGTGTCAGTTGTCAGGGGATGGTGTCAGTTATTATCAGGGGATGGTGTCAGTTATCAGGGGATGGTGTCAGTTGTCAGCGAATGGTGTCAGTTGTCAGGGGATGGTGTCAGTTGTCAGCGGATGGTGTCAGTTGTCAGGGGATGGTGTCAGTTGTCAGGGGATGGTGTCAGTTGTCAGCGGATGGTGTCAGTTATCAGGGGATGGTGTCAGTTGTCAGGGGATGGTGTCAGTTATCAGGGATGGTGTCAGTTGTCAGGGGATGGTGTCAGTTATCAGGGGATGGTGTCAGTTATCAGCGGATGGTGTCAGTTATCAGGGGATGGTGTCAGTTATCAGGGGATGGTGTCAGTTGTCAGCGGATGGTGTCAGTTGTCAGCGGATGGTGTCAGTTGTCAGGGGATGGTGTCAGTTTGTCAGGGGATGGTGTCAGTTATCAGGGGATGGTGTCAGTTATCAGGGGATGGTGTCAGTTGTCAGGGGATGGTGTCAGTTATCAGGGGATGGTGTCAGTTATCAGGGGATGGTGTCAGTTGTCAGGGGATGGTGTCAGTTGTCAGGGGATGGTGTCAGTTGTCAGGGGATGGTGTCAGTTGTCAGCGGATGGTGTCAGTTGTCAGGGGATGGTGTCAGTTGTCAGCGGATGGTGTCAGTTGTCAGCGGATGGTGTCAGTTGTCAGGGGATGGTGTCAGTTGTCAGGGGATGGTGTCAGTTATCAGGGGATGGTGTCAGTTATCAGGGGATGGTGTCAGTTGTCAGGGGATGGTGTCAGTTATCAGGGATGGTGTCAGTTATCAGGGGATGGTGTCAGTTGTCAGGGGATGGTGTCAGTTGTCAGGGGATGGTGTCAGTTATCAGGGGATGGTGTCAGTTGTCAGCGGATGGTGTCAGTTGTCAGCGGATGGTGTCAGTTGTCAGGGGATGGTGTCAGTTGTCAGGGGATGGTGTCAGTTGTCAGGGGATGGTGTCAGTTGTCAGGGGATGGTGTCAGTTGTCAGCGGATGGTGTCAGTTGTCAGGGGATGGTGTCAGTTGTCAGGGGATGGTGTCAGTTGTCAGCGGATGGTGTCAGTTGTCAGCGTGTGTTGCAGGTCGGTGTGGATGTTGTTGATCTTCTCTTCGGGGATTTCAGTAATTATATCTGTGGAGCCGACATTTCTCCTCACTGATCACACCGAGCGCCATCCGTCACTCTGAACCACCCCCCCTCCCCCGCCTGACACCCTCCACCACTGACAGTAAGTACCCCCCACCCCTCCCCCCTGACACCCTCCACCACTGCCTGACCCCCCCCCGCCTGACACCCTCCACCACTGACAGTAAGTACCCCCCCCCGCTGACCCCTCCCCCGCCTGACACCCTCCACCACTGACAGTAAGTACCCCCCACCCCTCCCCCCGCCTGACACCCTCCACCACTGACAGTAAGTACCCCCCACCCCCCTCCCCCGCCTGACACCCTCCACCACTGACAGTAAGTACCCCCCACCCCTCCCCCGCCTGACACCCTCCACCACTGACAGTAAGTACCCCCCACCCCTCCCCCCCTGACACCCTCCACCACTGACAGTAAGTACCCCCCACCCCTCCCCCGCCTGACACCCTCCACCACTGACAGTAAGTACCCCCCCCCTCCCCCGCCTGACACCCTCCACCACTGACAGTAAGTACCCCTCCCCCGCCTGACTCCACCACTGACAGTAAGTACCCCCCCCCCCCTCCCCCGCCTGACACCCTCCACCACTGACAGTAAGTACCCCCCACCCCCCCCCCCGCCTGACACCCTCCACCACTGACAGTAAGTACCCCCCACCCCTCCCCCCGCCTGACACCCTCCACCACTGACAGTAAGTACCCCCCCACCCCTCCCCCGCCTGACACCCTCCACCACTGACAGTAAGTACCCCCCACCACTCCCCCCCGCCTGACACCCTCCACCACTGACAGTAAGTACACCCCCCCCCCTCCCCCCCCTCCCCCCGCCTGACACCCTCCACCACTGACAGTAAGTACCCCCCACCCCTCCCCCGCCTGACACCCTCCACCCAGTAACCCCCTCTCCCAGTGACAGTACCCCACCACTGACACCCCCCCCCCTCCCCCGCCTGACACCCTCCACCACTGACAGTAAGTACCCCCCCCCCCTCCCCCGCCTGACACCCTCCACCACTGACAGTAAGTACCCCCCACCCCTCCCCCGCCTGACACCCTCCACCACTGACAGTAAGTACCCCCACCCCCCCCCCCTGACACCCTCCACCACTGACAGTAAGTACCCCCCACCCCTCCCCCCGCCTGACACCCTCCACACTGACAGTAAGTACCCCCCCACCCCTCCCCCCGCCTGACACCCTCCACCACTGACAGTAAGTACCCCCCACCCCTCCCCCCCGCCTGACACCCTCCACCACTGACAGTAAGTACCCCACCCCTCCCCCGCCCTGACACCCTCCACCACTGACAGTAAGTACCCCCCCCACCCCTCCCCCCGCCTGACACCCTCCACCACTGACAGTAAGTACCCCCACCCCCTCCCCCCGCCTGACACCCTCCACCACTGACAGTAAGTACCCCCACCCCTCCCCCCCTGACTGTACACCCTCCACAGTAAGTACCCCCCCACCCCTCCCCCCGCCTGACACCCTCCACACACTGACAGTAAGTACCCCCCCACCACCCCTCCCCCAGCCTGACACCCTCCACCACTGACAGTAAGTATCCATGTGAAGTGACATGAAGAGTGATCTGAGCTTTCCATCTTCTTCAGGTGCAGAGGGGTGATTCAGCCAATCAGAGCTCACAGATCTGTGGAATGTCGGTTCTGGGCGGAGTTGTCCTTAATTGGTGAGTTATCAACGTTTACTTCACATAAAAATGAACACCTGACCCGCCTTATATGTCCGGGTGACACCATGGACTCCCAGCACTGTACACACACAGAGGGGGGTGACACC